TAAGATGAGCTCCAAGAGGGAGATTTTCTAAATACGCTGGACTTAAGCTGACATTCAATAGGATCCTGAGCCATTCAGGATGCTACAGCCGGGTCCATTAAAGTGGCTAAGAACTCACACAGCACTCCTTTATTTTTAAGCACAGGGTGATACGAGGTGATGAAAAGGGCGGAGGAGCTGTGTCAGCCAGTGGAGCGGAAGAGTAATGGCTGATCTAATTTCCACATACACACTCAAATTAGAAATTATGTTATTGTAGTGTCACACAGGAATGTATTCCCAGTCCCTCGTGGTAAACTCGGCCAGCTTGTACAGCAGTTGTTTTTATTATTAATGCTAATTCAAACCACTTGCATGAATCACGGCTCTTTGTATTATGCTGGACCCTGTCGCATCCCATCATTATGTTCTAAATGCTGTTCAGCTCCATGAACCTGTATTTAACATTCAGAAAATGGCAAATAAATAAATAAATAGCCTAAAAATGAATGAAAATGTTTATTAAAATTCATTATTTTTGCACTTCCTCCAGTGTAACGGTGAAACTAGGGGGGGGGGGAATCTTTTAAAATATGTTGTGTGCTTGATTGGTGGTGAGTAAAAAAGGCCCAGTTTATACAGGCATGTCTCAGTCTGTTGTCTGCTTTACTCTGATTAATGTAACGATGATGTATGAACATAAACATACGTCACTGTGTCAAAGAAAACTTCAAACTAGCAATTAAGAACTTGAACTCACCGGCAGAATAAAATCCGCCCCCCGACATCTACACTGTCCAACTTCTGCATTTGACCTGAATATAATGTCTGCAGGCCACGACACAGAATGCAAGTTTATTGTTCTGAAAAAGCAAGTTCACAGGACTCTGTGCAGTCTGGGAAAAACTACACGCACCATTACTGCTGCCGTAGGAATCGTGAGGGTAAATAGCATCCAAGTGCACTTGAGCAGGTCTGAACACCTCTATGTAAGCAGATGTTCTGACGGTTTGCCAGTCTTGAACATTCGTGTGTGCATTAACACAATGCCAGTCTTTCCAAGAGTGGCCAGCTGTCACAGTCCTGGGTCATTGGCCCAGAAGTTAGAGTTCAGGGAGCTCACGATCTTTTCTTTTGGATTCTGAGATGCGGTTTATTTTGCAGCTCTGTGTGTGCAGTGTTGTGAAAAAATGTCTGACCGTTCCTGATTTGTCACACTTACATGTTTCAGAGCATCCAACTAATTGTAATATTAGGAAAAGAAAGACTGAGTAAGTAGAAAATAGAAAACTTTTTTAAAAGATGATTTCATTGATTAAGAGACAAAGGTTATCCAAACCTAACTGGCCCTGTGTGAAAAAGCCCCTCTTATTAAATCATGAACTAACTGTGGTTAACCACACGTTTGAAAGCTGAATTCACTAAATACACTCGGGCCTGACGACTAGCAGAGCAGTCCAATCAAGAAATGACTTAAAAACCGACTAAAGATCTGAAAGAGCAGCACATCACGTGGCGATCTAAAGAAACACCCGAGAAACAAGGCCAGTGACATCTATCAGTCTAGAAAGGCTTACAAAGCCACTTCTAAGGCTTGGTGACCAGTGAACCACAGTGAGAGCCATCAGTCAATCAATCCAGAGTCCAGGATTCAACAAAAAGAAAGAGATCGGCATCCATGGGAGAAAACCACTGTTGACTGAAAAGAACACAAAGGCTTGTCTCAAAACATCTTGATGATCCCAAAGAAAAATATTCTTGGTTCAAGCACACTTGGTCCCTGCAGCAGGATAATGGTCCCAAACACACCAGCCAGTCCACCTCGGACAGAAAAACCGACTGAAGACTGTGGAGTGGCGTAGTCCTGACCTGAATCTGATTAAAATGCTGTAGCTTGACCTTAAAAGGTTCATGCTTGAAAACCCTCCAATGTGGCTGAATTACAACAATTCTGCAAAGACGAATGAGCCAAAATTCCTCCACCGTGCTGTAAAAGACTCAGTGCCAGTTATTGCAAATGCTTGATTGCAGTTTTGCTGCTAAGGGTGCTGCAACGCAGCTTGGTCTTTTTCACCCGTAATAATTATAAACTGCATTCAGTGTTTTTTGTGTTAAAAAACAACTGTGCACAACTGTAAAGTGCAGAGAAGCTTTTTGTGTATTTTATGATGTGATAATGTTAAACTATGTGAGTAATACAACCAAAAGAAACAAATTTGGTGTTCTGCTTTAAATAATCTCAGCAGGTATTTGTGTTTAGATATTTGCAGAGATGTTTGGCCTTCATCACACAGCTGCTCAGAACAGTGATGGGAGGATGATGATTTGGGCCATTTTGCAGCCACAGGACTCGATTATCTTAAAATCATTGAGTTGCCCATGCATCTTTGCATGCATCTAGAGTCACATTTGAAGCCATATGTGCAACATCTAAAGCTTGGCCAACACAGTCTGACAGTCCAGTCTCACCTGACTGAAATGCTTTAGTGGGATCTTAAGAGAGCTTTGCAGAAGTGAAAGCCAACAAACTGCAAAGAAGCAACACTGCAAAGAAGAGTGGGCCACAGTCATGCAAGTCAACTCCAAGTTATTACCTGTAAAGATGCTTCTACAAGCTAATGAGTGATGGGCATGCTGCCTCTGTGACTGCACGGCCTCACAGTCAGACTCACAGCAACAGTGTAACCTGAGCGCACAGACGATTGTGTTTCACTCATCAATATTTTAATATTAATCTAATTACTACAGTTAATATGAATGGTGTCAGACAGGAATGCCGAGACAACCATTGCTGGGCTCTGCAGTTGTCCGACGGTATTCAGTGCTGTTCCAACAGGTAGGTATGCAGGCTTTTCAAGAGAAACTAAACCTAAATTACATCAAACTTTATTGCTGGTTCAACCAATCCACTCACATCATCGGGTAACGTAATCTCCCCATCCTGCAGATTCTTTTTATCGCCCAAGCAGAAGTTCCAAGACGTAACATTCAGTCTGCACACGGACGGCCACGCTCACCAACCCAGCCTGTCTGCAACGCTCTGCGCCCAAAGTAAAACACATTAGTAATATATTATAATCTCACTACAGTTTGTTTTCTTCTCAAGAACTGAGCTGTGGGTGAAGTGCATCTAGTTTGATCTTTGCAAATCCACATATTTGACTTGGGTGTGATTCAGGCCAACAGTAGATAGTCATGTGGCCTTGTGCAACTTTACAAGTCAACCTTTAGGGAACTGATCTCAGACGATGCTCTGGCACAGACTGAACACTCTTCATCACATCTTATCTATAAAAGCAAAACGAGAAAGAACATCTGGTTTACTGGCTCACAGTTTTACCCATGGAGATCTAGAGGAGTTTGAAGCATATCAGTAACATATTTGGTTTAGCTGCACATTTACAGAGGAAGGACTTTTGGCTGAACAATGCCTGCTTTCGTCCTTTACAGACTGACATGCTGATCGTGAACTTCAGGCATCCAAATGAAGCTAATGCATTTCAGACTGGGAGGTAGATGCTACCCTCAGAAGGAGAGAGGAAACGAGAAGGCTCAGTAAGCATCTCCATTTCCCACACCTGCCACAGGAGGGTGTAGGGCAGGGGTGGGCAATCTCAGTCCACGAGGGCCGGTGTCCTGCGGGTTTTAGATGTGTCCTCGAACCAACACAGCTGATTTAAACGGCTAAATTAGCTCCTCAACATGTCCTGAAGTTCTCCAGATTCCTGGTAATGAACTAATCATGTGATTCAGGTGTGTTGACCCAAGGTGAGATCTAAAACCTGCAGGACACCGGCCCTCGTGGACTGAGAGTCCCCACCCCTGGTGTAGGGTCTGCAATGGCAACGTCCTGGAGCACCACCAAGTCCAGGGCAAACCTACACATTAGGAAAATGGATGGATAAAAAAATGAAACCCAAACACGATGATAAAGCCAGACAGGATTACCTGGGTACTGGATGCTATATTTAGAAGTGGTTTACAACAAATGTCTCTTTAAGAAGAGGGAAACTTTGTGCTAAAGTCGAGTGTTTCCTTGACATATGCACACACCTGACCTCCTCCAGGTGTGGCTCTGAGGCTCACTACAAGTGAGCCTGACTTTGACCTTAGCATCATAATCAGAGCGCGATGTTTTAGGGTGAATCTGACCCCGTAAACACGTCATTACTGTTGAGAGACCTAAACAAAGGACCACAGCTAGCTGCTCGCTCTTTCCAGTGTTCACTTATGAGGTTGCAACCAAAAATCTAATTGACAAAAGAGATAAATACCCTGTGGGCCAAAAGGACTGCAGTGGGATATTTTACCCACAGCTGGAAACATGGTCAGTTTAAAAAGGATGAAAGCGTCACATTAGTACATTTTTCTCAGTGCCTAAAACAGGACTTTTATTTGTGTTAGGTAATCACAATGCCAAGTTTATTATGTAAGCAGCAAGTTGTGGGTGGGACACACAAATGCACATGTGCTGTGGACCCTACACAGGAGAGCAGCTGAGTGTTTAGCACACGTGTGTTAGGACGATCGTTTTTCTTTGTATGAACTTGTGCTGTCACTGAGTCCAGTACCTGGTTAAGTGTCCATTTCTCTTAAATATTGCCACAAGGAGACACATCGACCTGATTCTAGGTAGAAATGAAATGCACACACCTGTGTGTGATTCCCTGTGACAGCCTGCTTCAGCTAACCACACCTTCTAAAAAATGTTAAATATTATGGCTAATAAGTCCTTAGATGATTGGAATGATGGTGTCTGCCCAACAATGCGTCAGGCTCGCTCGCCAGGCCGGTGTGTTATTACAGCACAGTCGAGACAAGGGAGCTTAAATCAGCAGAATACCAAAGTAGATGAATGAATGTGTTTTTATCTGTAGTCATGCTTCAGTTGAGGAAGGGCTTAAGTATCAAGACTGTCTCGTGTGGTGGAAGACTGCTTGGCACAGCAGAAATATGATGTAACAGATACCAACAGGAGCGCTTCACCAAACATCCAGCCAACAACATGTGAATGTGGAATATCTGAATATCTCAATACTTTATTGTATTCAGCTAGATGAATGTATACATAGTATACAATACAAGGGACAACAGTTAAAACAATATTATATGTGCATGAATAATAAAAATAGCATCACCACCTTTTAGATGGTGTAACTGGTCCCTCTAAACAAACACAAAAAAGGTTTCTGTTAAAGGACAGAGTCGATCAATGCAAACTTCCAATAAACCCAACATTTGATCATCATGCATGAATTTATGATTCAAAGTAGAGCAACAGCTGAACCCCACTTCAGACTAATCTTATACTTTAAATATTTAATTTGAAGACAAAACAGCCAGTTTTGGAAGAAAGACGTGAACAGTCTTTGATGTGAGTCAGTTAAGGTTATTATTTTCCTCCTTATCTGATTGGACAGACCTGTGAGACCAGCGTAATAAAATGAACCTCATTGTCTCAGGTTGGGATTTGGGTTGGAGCTGGGGTCATTACTAACCACCAATCAGACGCCAGAGGGTTAACGTCTTAGCATCTACGTATTTGATTGGAATTTTCACACGTTTAACATGCAGACGTTTCAATTTGTAATAGAAGAACTGCCAAAATGCATGTAAGGAATTAATGTGAAAGGGAAACCATAACCACCCGTAAATGGTTTGCTAGTGGTCTGGTGAATATTGCGAGGATAATGGCGAGTACAGACATACCAGCACGCCGTGGATCAACTCTCTGTTCAACAACACATGTTAACGCTACACCAGGGAGGAAAAACAACAGGAGCTGCTTGGTGATACATGTGATCCGTTTGTTTCCATAAGCTTCATCAGGAAAACACATTTTTCTTTTTGTAAACCACAAAGAATAAAATGTAACACTGGAGGAAACGGTCCAAAATGTTGTGTTATGAATGTAGGCAGATATAATAAATGAGCAAAAACAACAACAAAAAAATCGTTCCCTTCCTGTTGCATGTTTGTCACATGTTGTGTTATATTATTAAACACATTTAATAGCAGACAAAGATGACCGTAAATAGAAAATGCAGTTTAAATAATGATTTGATTTATTACGAGACAACAGGGACAAAAGCCGCCTGGCCTCTGGTGAAAAAGTAAAAACCTAAATATTGGTTGGGCCACACTTGGCTGCAATCAAGTGTTTGCACAAACTAACAACGAGTGTTTGACGTTGTTGTGGAGGGATTTTGGCCCACTCGTCAGTTCTTTCCGAATTGTTTTAATTCAGCTACACTGGAGAATTTACATCCTGTTTAAGGTCATGCCACAGCATCTCAGCTGGATTCAGGTCCAGACACTAACGTCCTGCGTTTCAGGTCATTTTGGCTCAAGTGGACTTTGAGGGACCATCTGACAGCCGGACAGTCGCCTTCAGGATTTCAGCAGATTTCCTGATTCCATCAGTGTTGGCAAAGCAGACCAGACACACTCCCAACACCAAGACTTTTCCTTTTATCAAAGGCTGTGTTAGTTTGACACCAAATACTGAGACTTGAACTTTCCAAAAAGTTTTTGTCTCACCAGTCCACACTTGGGGCTCATCGAGATGTTTGTGGACAATGTGAGACCATCCTACATGTTCTTTTTGGTCTGCAGAGGTTTTCTCCTTGAACTCTCCTTTGCCTCTTTCATATGGTTGGATCATGACCTCCGAGCTAACTGAGTTCTTTAATGTTGTTCTGAGGTCTTTTGTGACCTGCTGTGTGACTCACTGACACACTCTTAACTTTGGTGAGCTGGCCACTGCTGGGAAGGTTGATCACTGGTCCAGGGTTTCTCCCATCATGGGTAATGGCTCACGCTGTGGTTTTACCAACCTGACACATTGTGGTTAATCAGAGTTAATTCGTGATTTAAAGAGAGTGATTTCTCACACAGCTAAGTTTGGATAACTTTTAAACAACAATTAAAAGCTGCAGTTTGTATCTACTGAGGTTTTCTTTGACTATTTCTGCTGCTGGCATTTTACTTTTAATGCACTGTTCTTTTTAAATTCTCTGGTTGGGAGTCTTATTTATATTTTATCTATATAAATTTATTACAAATATTATTATTGACTTATTTTTTGCGTTCAGTTTTAGTGCTCCATTGTCCTGCCATCGTCTCTGAGCTTACTCATTCTGTGTCCAGTCGAGGATGTGGCTCGTCAGTAGAAATATATCTATCCTGCTAGATTTTCATCCCAGGAATTTTCCCAGGGGACTAAAGACAAATGTATCATGTCCACAGATAAATGTACAGCATGGCCCATCTGTCAGTGTCTGCAGGCGACCTAAAATGTGAAACCTTGGACTGTCTGCACAGCAAACTAAACTGGACACCATGTCGAAAGATGCTTGTGTTATATTCCACATTCTTGGCCCCATGTTGTTAAGCAGTTGCACAAGTGTTTTGTTTTTCATACACAAAGTGCTTTCGGGAGATTCTCACAGTGCATTCAGGTCTTATTTTGACTTGGAGGGATTTCTGCTGCTTTTACCACTGAACCTTTCTGTTGAGTTCAAATTCACTGATCCCTCGAAGAGCAACTGGAAGCAGCAGCTTGAATGGTTCTTCCCACAAAGTCTGTCACTGAAGCATTTCTTAGGCTCCAGTTTACGTCAAAATTACATTGCTGTCATAACTGGTTTAGACGTAGTGATAACATAGCAAGACAGTTATGATTTCTTTTTGCAATAACGGATTAATTTCCATAATCTTTAGAAGCTTTACTGAGGAGGGAAGCAAACTACAAACGTCTATTGTTTGGTCTGTAAAATGCAGGCAAACATAAGGCAGTGGTTTCACGTCACTAGTTTTGTCTGGTAAACCAGTCAAAATGCTAAATTCACTTAGAAAGTGAAGTACATTATTGTACATTTAAAGGTACAGTGGGTACAGCTGATCGTTTCTTTTGTGGTCCCTTGTGGTTTGTGCTTTATGGAGTGTCTAGTCCTAAACCATGTAACTGGAGGGATGCAGCCACAAAGCGACGGGAATAATCTGCAGAAAATGGTCTGCGGCCGATACAAACACAGGCACATTTTCATATGGGTTGTCTGCTTAACCAGGAGAACTATAGCCTTTTATTAGGTGTACATTTAGTGTATGCTAATACTGACTAATTGGGAGGACATGAGTGCATCTACAGAAAAGTCAACTTTGGCCGACCATCACCTTCTGAAATCTGAATGTGTTAAATCTTAAAGAAATAAGGAAACCTGTAAAATAATCATTTTAATCTTAGATTTGAAGGTTTTACTGAATGTGTCTACATACGTGAAGAAGCCGTGCAGCCATGTATGCTTTCATGTATAAGAACATATATGTACTTTAAAAGATACACAAAGTTACCTGGAGGTCCAGGTATTTAGTCCTAGTTTGTATATTCATGCAGGGGTTACCTAAAGGAACACAAATAGAATTTGACTCTATTTCTGAAGGTGAGTGGGGTGAACAGTAGTTCATGAATTTATCAATCCACCATTTCAAGTTTTTACCTGATCTAAAGCCTCCTGGAGGTCAGGGTTTGTCAGTACCAAGCCAGCTTCAGGTTGAGGACAGATATGAAAACCACTCTGCAGAGAGCTGTTTCACTGTGCTAAGGCTTTGTGCCAGCTTACAGGTCTTTGGCAACATAGAAGAAGCAGCTGAACATGTGTTGTTGCTCTTTGCACAAAAGACACACACATTAGAAACAGCATCATACTGACCGACTACATTCACTGTATAGAATATAATTTCAGCTCAGCTCGAAACTTACTAATACTTTGGTCATTAATTCAGGAATTCTTTGATGTTTAGCTAACCTCTCATCATCCACCAGGTCACCTGTGAGCCATCCAGAGTGAAAGGAAAACTTAACGCAAAATTTCACTCTGTGACAGGGCTCGTACAAAGACAGACAAACACACGCGCACGGTCAATTTAGAATCGCCAGTTAATCTGTGTGTCCACCGCACAGACACGGGAGACACACCCGAAATCCACACAGATAGGACCAGACTGGATTTGAACCAATCAGGATCCACCACACCACCATGTCACCCTAACACTTTCTGAGTTTCTGTGCTATTTAAACCCGTCGCTAACCCTAAAGAGTCACTAATGACCTGGATCTGTTTCTTTTTGGAGACATATAAAGCTGGGTTCTGTGTTTCATTTGTCCATATCAGACAACAGCCCATCGCACACACCAGTAACTAAAAGGAAAACAAACATGTAGAAACTGCATGGATCAAGGAGGCCTTAAATGTGACATATACAGTACCATGTTTCACATTTTCATCAGTTCCTCAGTATTGAGAGAAGTCCAGTACACAGGCAAGACATCATCACAGCACAGTAATGCTTTTGAGATCGAATCTCACAAACTTTCATTTCCTTGCTTTGAGATCTCACTCTGTGTAGGTATACCAAGAAGTTTGTGAGCGCTGTGTTTACAAGTCTTTTGAACGTTTCCGACAGCGATTAAAAGTCTTTATGTGCATAACGGAGTCTTTGAGGATGCAGCAGCTCTGCTGCAAACTCTAAGTCTTAGAAGGTCTTTTGTATATGCAGGCATCAGGTCATCGGTCCTGGAAGAGGTAGACAAACCACGAGTCAAACCTCCCGCTGCAGGTTTGACAGTTTGGGAGGGGGCGGTCTCCTTCCTTTCTCTTAGGGAATAAATGTCTGTCCTTCAGACCATGGAAGACGGCCCTCTCTGGTGTAGCCCCTTCAGTCACAGTAACAGTCACCTGACACAGCAAATGAATCATTATCATGCTGATTAGGGCTAAAGGTTCACTTGACTGCTGAAGGTAACCCCCCAGGCTGCGCCTGCTCAGCTCTAGCATTGCCTCAGATTGCACAGGTCCAGCTCCTGAGGCTTCCTTTTCCCAGAGCAGTGCTCTCTGGGCAGATTCAGGCCGTTCTCGGTAATACAGCGCACCAGCCGCCTTTTAAAGCCCCTCCCACATGACTTGGAGCAGTGAGACCAAGTCCCAACATCCCACACGGGACACGGATCCCCGCATGCTCTTACTGACACGGGCCGGTCAGCACCATCACAGTCCACAGCAGGACGTCCATCCACACTCTGGCACTGTACCAGCCTCTTCTGCAGACCACTCCCACAAGTCACTGTGCACGAATCCCATCCACCTGTCACCCAGTGACTCACGGGTCTCTTCCCCATCACCTGCTTCTTAGACTCAATTTTGTTGTTATCAGCCAAGACGCTGTTCTTTGATTTATGACTTTTTTCTTCTTTCCACAGAGTCTTCTCCTCCTTGCTCTCCTTAGCGATGTAGAAGGAGTAGCGTACTCTGGGAGGAGTCATCTTCCCCACAGAGAGCACCTCCACAGTCAGAGGCTCCACCAGGGGTCTGGTGGCCTGAAGGATCTCCACAGATGTGGAGGTACCGCTGTAGCGCAGCAGGCTGCCCTTCACCAGCAGGTCACGCTCAACAGCTGACACCACGTAGTTGCCGTTCAGGAGGTACTTCCCGTGGCGGTTCTTCACGGCTAAGTAGTTTTCATCGCTGACCATTCCTCGGTAGCCCCGTTGACGGATGTCAATGTTGGACGCCCCAACGGGCAGCATCACCACAAAGTTGTAGCCATGGCTGCAAATGAAAAGGTGTCAAACACTGATGATGTCCAACCGAGTGGTTTTAAATTACAAGTGCCAAAATATCATTAATACAAACTAATTAGGTCCCATGTGTTAGTGCACAATGCAAACAACTAAACTTAGCACAATGACAGAATCCAGAATAAGACCATGTGCCATTTCTACCAGAACCAGTCTTACCAGTACATCTTCAGCCAACTACTCTCTAAACACAAGCTTTCATTTCCTGTTTTCGGGTGCCAAGTATAGCAGAACTTCTTTTTTAGGAGGTGAATTGTGTTTGTGTACAGCGAGTCTTTCAGATTAAATATGGGTTGAAATGTAACATTTGCGTCTTTGTTTGAAGCTTTTTTGCTGATGTACTGAATTTAGAAACATTCTGTCACATGGAGCAATGTACTAGGTAAAATTTGTATGTGGGGATTACTTACACTGGCTTGGTGAACAATCCTGAGACCTTCTTGCAGCCTTGGTTGTCCCCACCACATACACCACACTTATCAAACTTCCTGTTAGAGTCCAGCTTGCCGTCACAGCCTGCCTTGATGCATTTTCCCTGAACGCACACAGACGTAGTGTCCGGGGAACAGGGTGTCCCATCCACAACCTGCCACATTCACATCATGCATGAATACACACATCAGAGAGAGCTACCAGCCTTTACTTTAAATAAAGCAGAGCCATAAATCACTACAAACCAAGAAGCTTCCCCAGACTGATTGCCACAACATGTCAGTGAGACGTTGGCTTGTATTTCTGCTGATTTCATAAAAGGTTGCTGAGAAGCCACAGCTGTGCAGTGATTCTGTCTCTCCATCTTTGACTTTCTCACCACTCTATTGATTCTCTGCTGCCACCAAAACATCACCTGTCACTTTAAAAGTGATGGATGTAACCATCATCTCCCAAACTGTGAATAAGGCCAAGCAGTGACACACCAACCTTTCTAACTCAAAGCTTCAGCATCCCATCAGGTTTTGACTCCTGACTTCTGAAGTGTTAAACACTGAGGAGTTCAGATTCATTATGAAGCATAATAGTTGATAGGCCGGTGTCATGTCTGAGCTCGTTACACAGATACAAGCGTGGCAGGACTTTCATTTTGAAATTAACTGCAGCGTAATGAAAGCTAGCAGTGCTGATCTTTGTACTGTGTACAGCCATCACTTATCTTTCATTTAATGAACATAATTTGCGTTCTTGAACACGTTTTTCAGTGTGTTAAGAAAGAGTTGATAGAAACAGATACAATCAGAATTGTTTCCTGAGTGGAACGGCTGAAAATCAGATGCATACCTTTGGAGCAAGGACGTAGAAGTATCCGGTCCCGTTGGCACGGCAGATGAGCTTGCATTTGTCCTTGGGAGAGATGCCTGAATATTTGGGAACCCAAACCACAGACGAGCCCAGCCGATTGGTGTTCAGGTTTAGGCCGTTGAAGGCCTCGCATTGCTCCTCGCGGAAGCTTTTATCTGGAAATGAAGCAACAGCCTCAAATTAGATGTCTGTGAAGGTTCTCAGTCATCCAGGTCATTGTAGTCAAAGGAGCTTGCAAAGAAAAGCGTCTGGACTTCTTTAAGTTGCTTGAAGACGTTTCGCCTCTCATCCGAGAAGCTTCTTCAGTTCTAAGGTCAAATGGTGGAGAGTCCCAGATATAAACCTAGTGGGAGTTTCCCCCCACAGAGGGACAAAGGACCCCCTGATGATCCTCTAATCGCCTGAGCCAAGGTGTGAAACTGGGTGTGGGTCTCAATCAGCCAGAGTTTCGGGTGTGTTCATTGTGAAACCTGGCCCCACCTTATCATGTGATTTCCTGAGGTCAGATGGCCCAGGATGTGAGTGGGCGTTAAGGCGTCTGGGAAGGATCTCAAAACTGGATTATAGATGGCAGAGAGTTGGTGTCGTAAGCCCCGCCTCTGTTCAAAGATGGTCGCTCACAGTGGACATAGATGGCTTCTTTCACTCCTCTTTCAAACCATCAGGCTTAGAGGGAACATGTTCTGCCCGGTGGTGTTCCTGGACTGCGCTGTGCACATTGAAGAGAACGGCAACCTCAACATCGAAGTTTACCGGAAGCCCACACACACGGACCAGTACCTCCTCTTTGACTCCCATCACCCTCTGGAACACAAACTTGGAGTAATCAGGACCCTACACCACCGGGCAGAACATGTTCCCTCTAAGCCTGAAGGAAAAAGAAGGAACACACACATGTAAAGGAAGCACTCAAAACCTGCGGCTATCCTAAATGGGCGTTCTTAAAGTCAGCAAAGAGGCACAGAAAAGAAGACCAGACACCAGCGAGGGAGGATAAGAAGGACAGACGCAACAACATTGTCATCCCCTATGTAGCCGGTGTATCAGAGAAACTCAGGAGAGTTTTCTCCAAGCATGACCCAGCAACACGTTCAGACAGAAACTGGTTCACCCGAAAGACAAAACGCCAAAACACAAACTTAACAATGTGGTGTTTGCTGTACAGTGCAGCGAGGAATGCTCAGACCTCTACATTGGAGAGACCAAACAGCCACTTCACAAGCGCATGGCACAACACAGAAGAGCCACCTCCACAGGACAAGACTCAGCAGTCCATCTGCATCTTAAGGTCAAAGGTCACTCTTTCGAGGATGCCAATGTTCACATTTTGGACAGAGAGGACAGATGGTTTGAAAGAGGAGTGAAAGAAGCATCTATGTCCACTGTGAGCGACCATCTTTGAACAGAGGCGGGGGTTTACGACACCAACTCTCTGCCATCTATAATCCAGTTTTGAGATCCCTTCCCAGACGCCTTAACACCCACTCACATCCTGGGCCATCTGACCTCAGGAATTCGCATGATAAGGTGGGGCCAGGTTTCACAATGAACTCACCCGAAACTCTGGCTGATTGGGACCCACACCCAGTTTCCCACCTTGGCTCAGGCAATTAGAGGATCATCAGGGGGTCCTTTTGTCCCTCTGTGGGGGGTTACTCCCACTAGGTTTATATCTGGAACTCTCCACCATTTGACCTTAGAACTGAAGAAGCTTCTCGGATGAGAGGTGAAACGTCTTCAAGCAACTTAAAGAAGTCCAGACGCTTTTCTTTGCAAGCTCCTTTGACTATTCCCCAACTGGTTGGAGGCAGTCATTGGCAGCCTCTGTAAAACTGATTGCTGGAGTCGCAGCCACGCACTACAAAAGGACAGTTAGCATTGCTGGTGTTTGCTGCTGTTGCTGTGTAAAATTGGTTGACCTGTTGGCTAAGCAGCACTGAAACTGTGAAGAGTGGGATACAAATCAGACATTTAATCTGCCTTCAAATTAAAAGTTGACTGTTTTGCTGGATTTAGTGGTAAGGCACTTTTACTTTGAAAGCAAACATTCTCCATTTCCGATTTGTAGCACGTTTTCAAGTTTCATTGCTGCTCTGTGGTTAATATCTGACATCGTGGCATGTTTTATAGAAACTAAAGTTTGGAGGTTGTGTGACTGATTCCACCTGGTGACAGACAGCAACAGGTCCAGAGTAAATGAGGTTGTGAAAGGGTCCTCGACCAGCCTCTAGGCCTGTGTGAATGAGCTCTAAGCTAGCCAGCTGTTAGCTTGCAGCAGTGCCGTTTTACTTAAGAACCAACTAACTTTTCATTAATTAAATAATCTTAATGCTGAGCTGACTTAATTTCTTCGAACACAGAGCAGAAACTGTCGTACCAGGTTAGCACTAGCTAGTCCCATTAATGCTGCTGTTTCTGTGCTTATGAAAACTGTTAGCAAGTAAGCTAACAGGAAAATGACAAAGCAAAGTCTATGAGGTATTTATACACCTCCCTGACTGTTTTTAAATTTTCTGACTAAAACTGAAGAAAATTTTAAAAATACTGAACACATGTTTGCATTTTAATCTAATGCTAATCTAATACTTGGATATAGGCTTAAGGAGCCCTCCTTGGGGGATTTATTGCAGGATTTTGCCACCTTCTGTTTGAATTACTTGCCATCACTGGACAAAAATAGTTATGGTTGCTAAGGTTTATTTTTATGGTGAATGGTCCGAGGATCAGCGTACCTGTGTCAGGACAAGGGCTGAGGTTACAGGAACGGTACTTGACACGAAGGCCGTAGCAGTATTTGCCTCCGTTTTCAGGGACAGGGTTGTTGCACTGTCTTCTTGCCAGCTGAACTCCGCCTCCACAACTTCTGGAACAGTCACCAAATGAACCCCACTTCCCCCACCGACCATCGACCTGAGACAAAAGAACGATCAAAGCTGTTCACTAGTCTGTGACAAAAATGCTGGAGCAGGATGGGATGCTGCTTTCTTTCCACACCCCGTCTCACCTTGATGTGCTCAGTGCTGTTCTTCACAGAGCAAGCCCCCTGGTAGCAAACCTTGCCGTTGCCACAGCTTGTGCCATCGGCCCAGGGGAAATGTCGAGTTTGGCAGACCAGCTGTCCTCGGGCCTTTCCCGTGCACCACAGCTTGGAGCAGGGCTGCATGTAAGGGCAGGGTTTGGAGCCGGGGCCAAATGCAAGCTCACACTGACGGTGCAGGCTGTAGCTGGAGCCGGGCAGGTTGTCGGGCAGTGTCAGCTGCTTCTGAGGCTGGTCCAGCAGACAGTCTCCTAGAAACACACCGAGAGTAACAGCAAAGCTTTATTCGTGGAGTGATCAGTTTCTTTAAATAGCTAATCAATATTATTACAAAAGGAGAAAAGCCTTATTTGCATGTAGGTGATGCTGATTGAGAAAAACCTGTTATGTAGTTTATGCACTAACAAATGTTTGTAGCTGTTCACTGAGCTCACTGTTTCTTACACCCTTGAATGTTTTGGTTCAGTCTCTTTACTCTCATCATTTTGTGCAGCAGGAAATGTGTGCACTACACTACATCACCTACCCAGTACCAAACAAAGTCTGCAGCTAGCATACGAACACTTTGCAGCTAAAAATGGGATGAGGATGTGAGGCGGTGACGAGAGCAAACACAGAACAGATGAAAGAAATGTAAATTGTGCACTTGTGTTTACCAGGTGGAAAGAAGCATGGCTGTCAATAAATTCAAACATTTCAGCACTGAATGTTGCCGGTCCTCTTTTCTCAGAGTCTGGTCATAGTTGAAAAACAGCTGCGACATGAAAGTTGAATGAATGTCACGGAGGATAAGAGTCTGACGTGTTCACTATGTCACTAAAGAAACACAGTTTAAATGTACAGAACTGTATGGGAAGTGTTTAAAAACAGGAAACAGGCTCTGACAAAGCCGGTCTGCCTGCACGGCCACGCTGTTCTTTGGGCTCCTGTTCATTATTATCTGTATTTGTCTTTGCAAAAACCTCGTCTATATTTCTCCCCTTGCAAGTGATGGTCTGACGCGACCTTTATTCTCCGAAACATCGAGTTCAGTTTTTGGCGTCATAACATAGCTGTGGACGGGACATCGGGACTTGGATGATGCTTCCTGTCACCTGAACGTGTGAAAACTCATTCGAGGTCACTGAGCTTCATCAGTCAGTGGAAATTTAATTGAAAATGTAACCAGTGTACGTTCACCTCACGCATTCATTTTGATTTGTTTTATATGACACTGACGCTGAGGTACATTTAGGTAAGTTAATGTAAGGTCCTGGCAGGGAGATAAACAATGATGCACGTTTAACATTATGTCGGACTTAAACCTGCAGCATCAAAGCCTATGGAAGACAGGCACTGCTTGAACTTATAAATAATGTGTGAACAAGCAGAGTGTGCTCTGCATGAGACGGTGCAGACGCCTGATCGTGTTTAGTTTAAGCTAATGACTCAGCACTGTTAGCTTGTTCAGGTTCATTTGCTTGTTTTAGGAACGGCAGTCGTTGGTAGCTGGAGATTAGGGGTGATATAATAAATTAGTACATTTAATGACTTCACTTACAGTCACCCTCAGGATGGTTAATCACTCTGTTGGTGTATTTATAATCCAGAATAGAACAAATGTGTATTGTCATTATAACAGTGTTACAGTGAAAAAGCGTCCTGCTTCTCTGCTGTACGTCAGGGCGTGTAAAATAAACTGAGAGAAAGGTAAACACAGGTACAAATAATACTGGAAAAGGGAAATAATACATTTTATTCTAAAACAATAACATAATATAGAATCTGTATTTTTAATGTGTGAGCTGTACGTCCTCCAAGAAGGCAGGAGGAAAGAACAGGTGATGTTCACAGTGAGTGGGGTCCTTTGTAAAACAGCTGGAGTCAGTGGGGAGCTGTGACGCCGTCACCACCTGCTGTGGATTCTTGTTGTTCGCTGTGAGCAGCTGGTCAACCTCAGCACACGGCAGCAGGTCAGGAGTGTTGAAGACTGAGGCTACGTCCACACTAATGCGCTTTCGTTTGAAAACGCATCATCTTCTCTGCGTTTTGGCCGCCCGTCCACACTGAGACGCCGTTTTCCCCGAAGGAAAACGCAGTGTTTAGAAAATGCTCTCGAAAACGAATTCATTTGGAGACGGTGCTTTTGCGTCGCAGTGTGGACAGCGAAAACAGAGACTTTCAAAAACGATGATGCACTTTAGTCATGTGATGCAGTCACGTGGCCAATTAACCTAAGATAGCGGAGGACGTTATACAGCAGTTGTTTTGTTTGCTCTCAGTTTTGTCAGCCCTAGTATTCTCACTCGCTTTTGCACCTTTGTACTTTTGTGTTACTCGCAGCAGCAACTCCACCTCGTTGCTAGTCCATTTAAAAAACCCGCTGCTTTTCCTCGACATCTTGCCGACGTTTCAAAGAGCCGGAAAGTAAATAAGACAGAAACGAGGCAGGTCGAATCTTCTTGCGTTTCACGCGTGCGCAGTAATAAAATGTGAGCGTTTTGGGCCGTTTCAATGTGGACGCACAACTCTGTGAAAACGACAGAAAACGATAGTGTGGACGCCGAGTGTTTTCAGACAAAAACGGCGTTTTCAAATCTATCCTGGCCAGCGTGGACGCAGCCTGAGAGAAGTTGAGTCAGCAGGTGCTGATGCAGACGATGGATTTGAATGTGACGATCTGTTGTGAAGATACTCACACCTACCACATATTCCCTCTCTACCTCCTCTCTGTGCAGGCAGAGGACCGACAGCTCAGTGCACTTTGAGTTCCAAACTCCACTGTTTCTTTATTCCCGTTAGGTCCAGGTTATTGTGACAGCACTAGTCTGTCAGATGCTGCTTCACTGTTCAGGAAGGCCTGAGAGAAGGTTAGTCTTATTGGAGCTTGTAGGACTACAATGACCTCAGTCCACTGATGGCACTGGGTGTTTTGGCTGGAGGACAGCCGGCAGCTTGTAGATAGACATAATGTGTTTCCTTATCCAGAGAGCGTAGGAGGAAGTTTATGAAACCGTGTGTGAGGTTACAACTTCAGAATTGAATAGCTGTGCCTGCTGAAGCAAGAATGTCCACCTGTGTTCTCTAATATCAAGTAATATTCCATAATAAATGCATCGATATTATACTTCTCATGTCCTTGGCAGTTATTGCTACATTAAGGTAAACTTGGAACCATCATATATTCCATAACATATGAGAAACGTCCTCGGCTCTCTTGATCCATGGCCTCACCGGAGAAATCTTCATGATGACTTTATGGTCTCAATCACTAATTTAAGGTCTTCAAATGCAACACCTGCATGTTCTCCTCTACCTGCGCGGGTCCTCTCCAGGTGCTCTGGCATCTCCCCACTGTCCAAAGACGTGCACCTAGTGGTGGCACAGGCTGCACCTTTCACCTCATGATTGATAGCTGGCGTATCGTTCAGCACCACATAAGGAGAAGAGGATGGGTGAAGATTGCAGCCCCCAACAACAAACAGGTGATATCATGAGGTCTATGTACATCGTTTACATACAGTCGGTGGTTTTCTCTGATTCTGGCTCAAAACTCTAACATGTAGTAAAAAAACAAACTCTCATCCAAAGAAGACCACAGGAAACAGAACCCAGACTGAAAATCAACAGAATCCAGATGGGACGTCCACCATGTCTCTTACTGATGTCTGACCGGCAGATAACACTAATCACTCTGTTAACTTGTCTTTTAGAAATTTGCTCTTGGCTAGAAATGAAGAAACCGAGTGATCCGTCAGAAAAACAAGATTTCTGGACGAGGATCCAGAATTTTCATTTCACGTACACCAGTTAAGTACAACTTTTTTATCAAATCTGAACTGATGACAACTTAACGTCATATATGAATGAAATGCTGTGGCCTTGCCTCGGCTGTTCACCAGTCATGTAAAACAACTGTGTGACCAGTTGGTCCACATCAAGCCTCAGCATCCGCGTTCTGCCTGACGACAGGTGAGTTTCGTTTTCACCTCGATCACATTAGGGGGGCGTGCTAAGCCGTCAACAACCACTAAAATGTTGCCCCTGCAATGACAAACAGTATTTATATAAAATTCTCTATAACCAACATCTTTATAGTTTGTAAAGTCATTTGACTAATTACTACGTGTGCACCTTTTAAAAGTGGCCTGGTTCTAACTAAACACTCCAGTGATAAACTTGCTTTAGATAAATTGCTCCGACTTTTTAAAATAAAACAATATGATTGTGAGGCACAGTTCAATAACTGAATCCAAATGATTGAAAACATGTTAAACAGAAATATCATTTGGCATGAAATCAAGCAGAAATTACAGGCAAAAAAACCATTTTGTGGGTACAGTCAGATTGCTACCAGCTGAGAGCTGGATGACGACGCCTGGACATAATTAGATGTTAATCAGAGTCCAGAAACATAAGCAGGAAGTGTTTACTAACCGTGACCTCTGTCCAGGAACTCGGTAACGATGGCTGCACTGCACACAGACCAGGGTCGGCTCCTGTCTATCTGAATCAGCGTGGGAGACATCATGTGGTTGTCCTTTAGTTTCCCAAATACCTCCTCACATGCCTTCACATTGTCATGGGGCATGTTGAAAACGTGGCCTGAGGGAAAACAGTGGGAAGAGGAGGACTCATTTTGGTTCTGTTTTCAGTAAAACACGAGCACAATGAGTTCGTGCGGAGATAAAGAGAAATGCGAACATATTAATGCAAAGACAAATCGTTTACATACACACAGCAGCTCTACTCAGCCATCTGAAGCTGATGTCAGGAACAGAGCACTTTATTTCCAAAGGAAATCATTACGTTCCCTAAATACAAGCAGTGCCTTCCAAAATAAAAAAGAAACATAAACTGTGGTTTTAATGCGGTCGTTCATGAGACCGGATTATTTCGAGGGGGAACTTGTGTAATTACTTAACATATATGAGGACAGTGTAAACCAATGCCTCTCCTGGGCCTCTCGGGTTACTCGTGCATCTGGTTTCAGGCTAAAGCCCTCTGTTTTTCAGCAGGTTTCTCAGCGGTCACTCAGTCTCAGGAGTTTTTACAAGTTTGTGCAGTTTAATGCTATCTATTACTAAACATTAAGGCAGCAGGCGGAGAAGAATTACCTATTTATGTTTTCATTAGGAGTCACAGATTTATGCTGGTAATTTAGCTAGCTAATAGGCTCTTCACAAATTCTGGAAGAATTTTACAAAAGGAATTTATTATGGTGCACAATCACCATAATACATTGAAACTAGGATTTCATATAACCTGGTAACTGTCATGTCAGAATAAAAACATTATCCAGAGTATGTCATGGTTCTGGGTCTGTGAGCCAGTGTTGTGTGTATTTTAGTTTTATTTAATCGATTACTGTATTTTTCTCCATGTTTCCTGTCTTATTTTGAAAGAGTGTTGTGGTCTTTGGTCATTGTATTTACTTTCACTTCCCAGTAGCGTCATTAGGTTCATGTGTATCAGCTGTGTCCTCGTGTGTTTTCATTACCCTAATCACCCTTGTGTGTATTTCGCCTGTGCTTTTCTGTTTAGTTATTGTCAGGTCGTCTGTCATCCCCCCCATAGTCACAGTCACGGTGTTTCTCAGTGTTTCTGTTCGTTTAGTTTTTATGTCTAACTCCTGCCACCAGGCAAATAAAGGCTCGCTTTTCATTAAAACCCAATCAGCATCTGCTTTTGGGTCTTATTTCCAAATACACCGGCGCACCCCGCCGCGACAGAGTAAAAACGAAGTGATGTTTGTGGGTTGCGTAAGAGGCTAAGCTAATGAGGCTAACCTGGCTACAGCCAGCCTAACAAAGAAAAGCACTGGGGGCAGGGCTAAGAGCTAGCTGTTTGTGCCAAAGTGTACTTTGTAACAGTACTCAGTAGAGCTTGGATGAAGCAGGCGAGCCATTCCCAGTATCTTCAGACCTTTATGCTAAATTGCTTGCTGTAGCTAATAGCTAACTCACAGACACAACAGTAGTATGAATCTGCTCGTGTCACTCACTTCCACCCCAAATGTTCGGAGATGAACAATAGTTTATGTATGTAGTTTACAATTAGCAGCCACTGCTGGACATACCAGTAATATTTCCTGTGCTTTCGTTGCCCCTTTCTTTTCCACAGACTGGCTGGACTGTTAAAGATGTTGCTTTATGATATCAAATGAAATAGTTGAGATTTTTCACAGCAGCCATTTGCAGCTGCCAGAATACAAAGTTACATGGTGTGGCTGCTCGGTGAAACACTGAGCGCTGCTTTTGATTGTAATGATACTGATTTTCAAACACAGCATCAGATGAAGGCAATTAAATCATTTGACAGATTGAAACCCACCAGTCCCCCAGGATCAAGACCAAGAACCGCAACCATACAATTCACCATGAAAATAATAAGTCCCACAGGCCGGGCTAGTCTGCGCACTGATTATGCACATACAAGTTTGTCAAGCCCCAAATAAAAAGTCATTCTGTGGTCGTGTTGGTTTAGCATGAGGTGCATAATGTGAGAAAACTTCTGACCAAGTTCATGAGCAGTCGTGAAAGCCGAGGGTAAGCCGTCATCCTCGATGACGGAGCAGCTCCTCTTCGGGTCGCACATGGTCCCAACATCAGCCATCCCCAGCGTATCGCAGGTCGTGGCTCCACAAAGATCCTGGTGACACAGAGACAAATGTGTGCTTCTTTATTCTCATTGGAAGCCTGAAAAATCAGATTGGACTCGGGCCATGTTCCAAACATGCTATGTGTGGCTGGGCCCTGAGCAACACATTGAACAGACCATGAAAGGAACTAATTCAAAGCATGTGGGAGTGTGGTTTGCTTATTCCCTGTTCTTAAAATATATTGAAGCAGAGGGTCGGGGGAGATGGGCTGCCACAGATTTCCTCTTTGTGTTTCTGTACAGAGGTAAGAATATACCTCCAGCGCAGCGCAGAGTGGAATAAATCCACAGGAATCTATCTGACTGTGTTCATCGCAAAGTCTGTTCCCATCTACTCTCTGCTTACATTAACCCATTCTTAATTTACAGAACAGTTCAAAGTAAATTGTTGGTTTTATGTGAACATCTGATGTTTTTATATTGATAAGAATCAGTCTGTTGTTTTATTTGTTGTCTGAGCACCTTTATTAAATATATATTTGTCCTGATATGTCCTGTTGTACCCTCTGTACAACATTTTAGAGAAAACCTGTAGTTTCGGAGCACCCAGATGCCACCAAATGCAGGTTTCCCCCCGAAATGCAGACAGTACTTTAACCTACACTTGATGTAAACTTCACAGCACTCCTTCAAAGTGGTATTCAGAGTAAAACTCCACAGTCTGCTGCACCAGAACTGAACACAGTCGTGTGCCTTTATGGTGGCTGCTGGTTCTAGAAAAGTAATTTGATTGAATTGCAAAAGTGTCATGATTGAAGTAAGTTGTACAGAGGAGTCGTCTGTACTCAAAACAAAACTTCAAGACAAAAACTTCAAGACAAAACTTCCAAAACCAGGATGATCCCCACACCTGTGCCCACATTTACAGCTGTGGTGTTATCTTCTAGCTATGCTGTTAATGTGGTTTGAGAACAAGGAGGACAGATCACTGGTGGTTTTGTCCAAACTGAAACATTTCAACAAGTGTTGGGTTGGTTTCCATGTGTGACACTGAGGGTCCCCAGAGGAGCTCTCCTTTGGATTTCAGTCGTCTCCTAAATCAGCACCAATGTGCAAAGATTCAACATCGAGTATCAGAGGTGTTTATGTTCCTTCCAGAAGAACACTGATGTGTTGCTTCATGAGGTGCTGGCCTTGCTGTAACCACCAGTGGATCAAATTTTGAAAATGGTCGTTGCTTTAATTTATGGCTGTGTTTATATAAAACTGGCGTTCCCATCAGCCTCAGGTGTATACTGCGCTTGTTGTTAACAAATGTCAGCGTTACAAAGTGATGAGTTATATAGTGTGGTTTTTCAAGCGATTGGCTGAAGGAAAAGGAAAGGCCCTTAAGGATTTGGAAAGCATCTTTCTCCCTCTGCCTCAGTGGGATGCAGCTGCTGAGCAGGATGCATCCAAACTTACAGCTGTGTCAGCGAGCATGTTGAAGTTAGCTAGCGAGACAGCCGACAGGTTGGACTGTGCATTTCGGAGTGATTTGCGTGAATCTTCGCGGGCTGATAATTGCGGTCTGGCATGTGCTTCCGATTTTGTGATAATGACACCTTTTGATGGCAGTGCTGCTTGTTCTTCTGGCTGCTCTCTGTAGGGGTCACCATGGTAGATCATATCCCAGCATCCTCCTCTCTCACACCAACCCTTTGCATGTCCTCCTTCACTATTTCTATAAAACTCTTCTTTTTCTTTTACTCAAAATGTGGAGCTTCCTTGCAGCTCTACAATCAACACGCTTTGTTGAACATACCTGCGATCCGTCCTCTGCACTTGTCCATCTCAGCTTTGCCTCTCTTTGCCTACAAACACTTCTGTCACACATCACAAAGTCTCACGAGCATAATGTAAACCTTCCCTTTACAAATCAACCCTGACACTCGCCCCACCGACTCCACCCTGCCAGCACTGCCTTACTTCTGCTTTCATCTTCTCTCCATAGCATTTCCCCATGCTATCTTCCATCTGCTTCCTTTTCTCACTACAGATTCCAGCGTCGTCCGCAAACATCATAATCCACAGAGATTCCTAGCTGACCTCATCCGTTAGCTGGTCTTGCTGCCAGCAAAGCGAGCCTCAGAGTCAGTAGTGTACCACAGTTCTGGCCCCTTGGCTGGGCCACCACCACCACAGCTCAGAAACCACACTAGCGAGGTTTCAGCTCAAACTGTCACTCTGAGAGACATTACCAAGCTTGTTGCTGGTTATTTGTTGTGGCTATGGTGTCGTGGTTAACCACACTTACCTAATACAAACCTGATGGCGATAGAGCTAGCACAGCCAGAGCTACATTAGCCAATAGGCTAACACTCTCTGTGCAGTCTAACCAACGTGTCCACGCTAACACTGTTTATTTTTGATAACTTAGTAACATGACAAGTCACAGATTGTAATGTAACAACTCACTATGAACACTAAGTGACACTAACAAATACAAATAGACTGGTGAATGAGTACGACGTTTCCACTGCTTACGTCCACATTAGTCTGTGACTTTAGCTTAGAGCATCGCTGCACACGCTGCACCTGCTTGGTGTTCAACATTACAGCAAACTGTATTTTCCCACTGAACAACTTCTTGGAATAATGGCCACAATTCAACGATTATCAGTAATTTTGTAGCAAAGTTCTGTCACGAGGCTCACTGAAAAGGTTTCTTTGTGTCTCTGCTTCATTATGTCAAGTCAGGAATGATTTTGTGGCCAAGTGGCTTTCATGTACCTGTGTGTTCCAAGTAAATATGAAGACAGCTGAAAATGAACTTGTTAACCCAGTGTTGGCCCAGTAAGGCTGTAACACACACTGCCAACCATGTGTACTCCACACATCTTAGACTTCATAACCTATTGCATTATTTTTTCCAATGCAGCAGCTGGAGTCACTGTGCCCTACAAGGACAACAGCACTGGACCTGGACTTTCCTATATATAACAGTGTGATTAAGGGATGGTTCCCAACACTGGAACAATTTTTCATTCTTTTTGACGTAAATGTTTCTGTATGTTGCTACGTGTTAAGCAAAGGAGGCCGACGTGTATCAGACCGTCAGCCAAAGTGGACCTAATGGAAAAATGACCCCCGATAATGAGCAGGCATTGAAGAGGGAGAGACGGAGAAGTAAGAATCAGCCAGTGTTTACAGCTCTGGTGACCACATGGGATTATCTGACAGCTGTGAACAGGCTGAACTCTTCAGACGGTGCCAACTTACATCAGCTTGAATAAATGAGGGAGTCGTTGGAATTCTAGCTGGATTCTTACAGAGTTTTTGATAGTATGAAGATGGCCACTACAGGCAGATAGTAATCCAGTTCTTATTCGGCTGAGGCAGATAGAGGTGAGGTCTTTCATGGAAAGAACTGGCTCAGCTGGTCTTTTCCACTGACGCACTGCAGCAGCCAACAGAAAAGGGGACTCGCAGAGCTGTGCAAGTCCTGGGATGTAGCTGCACCTATACTGAGCCTACTGATCACTAGTGATGGGTAAATGTGGCAGCTGTGCAGGAATCATAACAAGTCTCCACAGTGACACTGGCCATTTGTGTTATCATCACATCTTGATAACGATAGCCTGTGACACAGAGTCACAGACAAGCACTGTTGCCGCCACTACTGCTGCTGCTGAGGATTACTCTTAAGGTCTCTGGGAGTTTGCATCGTCGTCAGGCTTGCTCTACACTCTAACAATCAAACCTAGAAGCAACAAGTAAGCCACCTTTTAAAACTGGGGTGATAAACACGACAACCTTAATTAGCTGTGGTCGTGTGAAATGGGTGTTTGAAACCCTGCAATGCTGGAAAGTCAGTATCAAACTACTGGTTACAAACTCAGGGCCCCTAGTCTATTTATACCACCCACTAAAGACATACTAATCAAATAGTTATAAAAACACGAAACAACCACAGAAATGCAAAACAGCTCAAAAAAGCTGTGAAACAATTACAAGGAGGTGGAGAAACACTAAATCCCTGCAAAGAGACAGTTTCAAACAGCAATGCAAAGAAAAAAGACACAGAGACGTAGTGTCGAGATGAAGAGACGTGAAGTAAAAGCAAAACAAACAGAGACACGAAACGACCTCAAGCAATCAGCAACAACTGCAAAGGGGAGCAAAGTACTACGAAAGATACTACGAAACACAAACCCACATGATGCCCAAAAGAACAGCGATGAGGCCCAACAAAGACGTGTAAATGACTACAGAGATGCAAACGACCCCAACAAAAACTCACTGTGTGACGTAAACAGACGCAAACATACAAAGAGACAATCAAAACATCAAACAACCTGAGACAGACACACAATGATTACATCAATGGTCTCAAACTTACATGAGCTGTGGGCCACTGCTGGCACTGTCGTCTCATTGGACGGGCACTTTATGTTCAAGTAGTACAAAAACAAACAAATAAACAAGAAAACACCCACAAATATTTCCTAAAATGTTTTGTTTGTTTGTTTTTAAAATTTCAAATATTGTATAAAAAGAGCAAACTGCAAACGTGAACACAGATTTTAACTAACTGGATCCTTTCATTGAACACACACACTGGTGCTCTCTGTGCACACGTGGCAGCACTGCTGCTGTCGTTGTGTTTGTGTTTAACAAATCAAACTGCAGACATGAGTGTGAGTCTGTCACTGAGTAACGCAGCCTCAGTGTGTTTGTGCTCTCTGCTCATGTCGCCTTCATGTTAAATCATTTTGGGCTTCTTAAAGAACTTATTTTAACATTGCACTCGACAACAAGGGACAAACTGCGTTATTTCTTCATGTCAGCAAGTAGGCCTGACGTGGTCCACAAGTGGCCCCCGGGCCACAGGTTTGAGACCCCTGGATGACACAATGCATCTACTTCAGCTACAGCTGTGTTTTAGTCTTGGTGTCTAAGTGAACAGGGGGCCCTGTATGTGTTTGTGCCCCAGACTCCAGGATCTGACCATCCATCCATGAGTGCAGTAGTTCTGTTCTCTGCAGCACCCACATCTCTAATGCAGCTCTGGCTCTTTGACCTACCTGTTTGGTGAACAGAATGGCTGTGTCCCAGTACTCGGGGTGCTTGTCACTGTGTTTATTTAACTTCTTCTGCCAGGAGCAGAAGTTGCGCAGAGTCAGAGCAGCATTACTGGAAACCTTCGGTCCCTTGTCATCGTCGTTTATCACCATGAAGCCCACCACCACTATGTTTATGGAGTTGAGGATGCTGGGGTGCTTGTAAAGCCTGGCTGCTACTGACATGAGGGTCAGAACGTAATGCTTTAGGCCATCCCCGTGAAATTTAGCCATAGATTCATCTGCCACAACCAGCACCTCCACAAACCTGGGGACGGCGGCGAACCTCTTAGACCTCCCCAAGGAATTGAGCACAGTCTCGGTCAAGCCGTCCGTCTCCAGTTCTCTCATGTACTTGTATCTCTCCAGGGAGACGGTGAAGTTGGTGTCAGGTGGAACTTCACACCTGCTGGTGAAGTTTCCAGCTGAGTGCGCTGGGCGTCTGCGGCGGCGAATGATATGCGTCCTGTCGAAGGAGCTTCCACGCACAGAAGCGGCCCCTGCGTCTTCAGTCTCGGTCTGGCTAATAAAATATTCCACGCCGTTATAGAAGAATCCCCCCTGCAGGCCTTTGCACAGGCTCAGCGCGGCAAAGGAGTCGGGGTCTGCGTTGACATAGCCGGAGTAGAAGCATTCCCTGAATTCAGAGCCTGCAAAGGTGTCGGGTGCTGAAACACTCCCAGCTGCAATGAAACTGGAATCTGGAGACAGATGGAGGTAAAAATCCTCTCTGAATGCACGAAGTCTAAACACGATCTCATCTTCATTCATCTGCTCGGCGCGCCGGTGCAAATACACTCCGGGCTTTTTCTGACTCAGGCGAACTGGTCTGCAGAAATCGACCTCCATGCAATGTGTCACCTTCAAATAAAGCAAGAACTGCGTAAAAAGAACGAAAGAACTGCTCGGCATCGCCATCTCTGCTCCCACTCGGGACAGTCCGCCGTTCAAGAAGTTGTGCGCAATGGCACCAAGCTCAGCCCATGCGTCTTTTAAAAGCCTATGCACTCGCGCGTCCTCCCTGCTGCTTTCCCATCTTGCACCGTTTCCTGTCTGCACGCGAACTTCTCTGAGCTGCTCAGTTTTAAAGTCGCGCTAAACTCGAGCATCGCTGTCAAACAGAAATCTGAGTGCGTGTGCAGGACGGAGCTCATTGGCCAGGCTGCGCGCTTTGTGCTGCAGAGCGCAGCCACTTGTAGCTCTCCAAATATTATTGTTGCCGTACAGCATGAGCGACATGAGCATCATCACCACGCAGTCTGCTCAGACAACTCTGAATCAGACATGTTTCAGAAGAGCACACAGAGCATCACTTGATCAGAAATAGATACACTGATAAACGTTGGTCATGAATTTCAATCTCATCAAAACATCAAGCAGAATCATTTACATGATATCATTGGATTAGGTAATAACGTGTATGTCACTTTAATGTTGCAGCTGGAGGTGATTTGAGTGACTTCAGCACTGCTGGATCAGTACAAGGGCATTAAATCTGTAATTTAATAAAGTACAGCAGTGAATGTACAAAGTTGGGGGTAGGGAGGATGGGCTCCAGCAAAAAAGGATGAAAAACGTATCTAACAGAGATCGATTGATTTGGGAACAAGACCAAAACCCTCCTAGAATCAAGTGTTGCCACTGAGGAGGCCATCATGACAGTAACGACTCTAATATTATTGAATGGTCAACATTACAGAGTACCACACGTCTCCAGCTTCTACTAAAGAAAACGGGGAACAAGTGAAAACAGAAACTTGATTTTTGGGCAAACAGCGACACCTAGTGTCTAACGAAGAGTGAGCACAAACGCTCGGTCCTTGTGCTTTGGCGCCATCTGCTGGTACATGTCGTGATCTGTACATCTGTTTGGGGTGCAGGAATTTTTTGGCATTTGTTTTTGATTATTTGATGAGTTTAACATTCAGTTCAAATGCAGTTTTTTATTCACTGTGTGTAAAATCTTGCTTTATTTTAGTATTTAAAAAGAAGCTTCTTCAAACGTCACATATTGGAGATATGAGAAGAATAACGTTCATCCAAAATCATCACTAACGCGATTAGACGTTTCCCAGTGTTCGGGGTCAGTTCCAAGAAAACTCGGCGCCTTTCTTCGTCTTGCTCTTTTGTGCGGAGGATGAAGCAGGCCGGATTTGGAGAGGGGCGGGGTGGGGGGCTCCGGGCCCTGTGGGGGCCTGCCACTCACACACCTCCGAAATAACTCGCGTAGCGGACTCCCAGCTATGCGTAGTATAGATGTCCTGTCGCTGCCATACAGCACGCTGGGTTAATAATAGGAGCGCGGTTGTCAAGCTGTTTCAGAAGGGGGGAGTGTCGGCCCATTCTTATTGGACCCGTTTTATCCTCGAGTTTCTCATGAAGTGTGAGTGGGAGGAGAATTTCCAGCAACGGAGGATATCAAAAATAAGCCCCCTCGTGTCCAGAGAAGAAGGGAAAGTATAAATACCCCCGATATGTCCAGACTGCAGCGGTGCTGGTGAGCGGCAGAACAGGGAATGATAGCTGGTCGAAGCTGAGTGGGACTGGGAGCTCACTTTCATTTCAGTAGAGACGTTATTGCGACTGCAGAAGAGAAAGGACATCATCTTTGTTAGAGTCTTTATTTTTGATCCACTCTTCAGCGCGTTTCTGTCTGCAGACGATGTGTGCCACTGCGTGTTTGCTCTTTTCGCTCCTGTGCGTAGTCAACGCGACACTTGCCTCTTCGTTTGAATCAGAGGATGTTGTACCTGTTCGGATAAACGCAAGAACCAGCGGGCGCTTCTGGAAGAGAAGCGAGGAGCAGCCGAGGTTTGTCCTCAGTGCGTTTGGCAAAGACTTTACTCTAAACCTCGTCCCGGACACCAGCTTCATCGCGCCTTCCTTCACCATCCAGCGCGTCAAAGCCAGAGACGTTGAAACTTTACGCAGCGCTCCAGGTGCCCGAGCCGTCCCCCAGAAGCTTATGAACAGGTCAGAGGAGAGCGAGGGCCACCTGAGGAGCTGCTTTTACTCCGGGAACGTGGATCAAGATCAGAACTCACTCGTGGCTGTCAGTCTGTGCTCGGGCATCTTTGGCTCCTTTGTAACGGAGGGCAAAGAGTATTTGATTGAGCCCAAACTCCACGGCGGCCCGGGGCCAGCCTCTGCCGAGGAGCCGCACGTCATCAGGAGGAGAACATTCAACGACAGCAACGGTGTTTCCCTCCCGTCTGATCACGCGGCCGTGGAGCAGCACAATGGGGAAAGTTTTACGCACGGCGACGGTGACGCAAGGAGGGAACCACGCCGGAGACGCTTTGTCTCCGCGCCACGGTTCATAGAGACCCTGGTGGTAGCAGACTCAACCATGACCCACTTCTATGGAGATGAAATAAAGGTCAGACGCCATGAACTCATTCTTTCCTGCACGCACACACTTACTCGGCGCCCAAACAAAGCTTTCTTTAATTTCTTGGCTTAGACTCTTCCATAAACAGGCCGCTGTTGTAGACGTCATTCCATTACCCCCCCCCCCCCCTTTTTTTTATTTTCCCATCCTGTCTGCAAAGTCAGGATTCACACACTCGAAAATATAAAGGCAGGCATATGTTTTTCTCTCCGGCTGCATAAAACATGTTTTGTCAGTGAGGGACCTTGGGCGGAAATCGATGAGCTCCCTGTTTTTCACAGAAAGATGTCAGGCCAAAGAAATGCAAGAAATGCTAGAGCACATTCCTAGGGACTAGGTCACCATTTGGCAGCAAAGCCTCAGCATCACCAGGAAGACTCACAGCGCTTTTCCATTCTGTCTTTACTCCGTGATTCTTTAAATCAGCCCTTCTCTCCCGCATAAAACCTTCAGTGTTTAAAGTGCACTAAATGTTTATTACGTCCTCCTTCCAATCTAAAATCAGTCCTGGTTCCATTCAAAGCTGAACCAGTAATAAGTAGGACTGTGCCAAAGTCCGCACCAGCCAAATTCTAATCTGTTTGTGTTTAAGTCACTCCTCAGCTGCCAAAGTCTCCATAGTATTCCCCAGGCAACCAGACACAAGGTGAGGAGAAAGGTTGCACTGATAAACTTGGCTCACAGTGAATTTTCCATCCCAAATCACACATTCCTTTATTTCTATGCAGTTTTCTACAAATAGGGGCCGTTTCAGTGATTTGGTTTCCGCAGGCAAAAATCAACATGTGGTTCCGTGGGTGTGCTCACAGCACATGTGGAAAAACTTTCAATGTGGGACTATCAACCCACCCTAGAAAAAATGATTTCACTGAGAATACACATCACGGCAAAGCCGCTCACACTGTCTGTGATTTGGCAGCTCTGAAACACGGTGACACAGCAGCTCAGTGGAAATCCCTGACGCGTCTCCTTTAATGATAATAATAATTCCAGGCAAAGCACTTTACAATTCCACTATTCATTCACACACTGGTGGAGGCAGCTACAGTTGTAGCCATATTGCGCCATCGGCCCCTCTGGCCAACACCGGTAGGGTAAAGTGTCTTGCCCAAAGGGCACAACGACCAGGACAGAGAGAGCAGGGGGATCGAACCGGTTACAGATGAGCTTCCCGATCCCCTGAGCCACAGTCGCCCCATGATTGTGTCATGGGACAAGTAACTTTGGGGAAAATGATTTCAGGCCACAGGTGCAAATACATGTCGGTTTGTCTGCCTACAGCTCTGGCCATCTTGTATGATGTTGGCATCCGTTCCTTTTCTTTGTTTGCTGCAGCAGTAACATACAGTCCAGGACAGCTCCACATATCAGCCAGTTTAATTTCCATTGTAGAACACACATGTGCTCAGTGAGTAGTACTTCATAGTGTTTATGCTTTTATTTTTGTGCAATTACTGCATTTGGAAAAAGTCTCTTTTCCATTTGAAGGCATCAAACGAGGCTCGGCACGTTAGAGCCGAGCTAACCAACACACTGACCCCTCTACACGATTACACATGCACATCTAGTAAGTAAGAAAAGGCAAAAATGTGTTTGCAATCTGTTCAAAATTTTATAATGAAGCTTGTCCCGCAGACACAAAACATCATTAAAGTCTCCTGGAGTAATATACCGCACACACGCACACGCTTTCTTGTCAAGATTTCATAAAAAAATTCTCATTACCATCACGTGTATGTTTATTATAATCCCACACTTGTGAGGGACAGCCAGCCTGGCTCCAAACACATCTGTAGGCTGAATCATAAATATCCTCTCCTCCACAGCACTACATCCTCACCCTCATGTCCATGGCCGCCCAGCTTTATAAGCACCCCAGCATAAAGAACTCTGTGAACATGGTGGTGGTGGAGATGCTGATGGTGGAAGATGAGGAAATTGGACCGGAGGTCTCCAGCAATGGAGGTGTGGCTCTGAGGAACTTCTGCTCCTGGCAGCAGCGCTTCAATCCACCAAGCCAGAGGCATCCCGAGCACTACGACACTGCCATGCTGTTCACTAGAGAGGTGAGGAACCAGCAGACGAGCATACATCTGATTTTGTTATTTTTCTCATTTTTTGTTTTATTTGAAGCTGTTTAGGTCTTTGAAATAAAACACAGCATCATCTGCAAATAAGGCTTTAAACATTTATCTTTTAAACAAGATGAACATCTTAACAAGAAGTCATTAACTACACTATTTATAGCTTTTAACTGCACAAGTTCAGAGAAATGCCATCATTATCCCTGAATAAAGGCATTGTTTAATATCGTGCAATTGAAATTCTAAGATCGCGCGACGACATCTGGACTGTGCAAACGAGTACTCAGCCATTTAGTAACTGAGACACAATTAAAACCTACAGGCAAAATTAAGAGTTACTGTGAAGTGTTCATTAAGTCATAATTTGCAAACGGCAGTGGCCTGAGAACTGATCCTTGAGGAACACCGGAGTATTTCAGGTTTCATTGAAAGGTTTAACAATGGGAAGTGATTTAGTCATGAAGCAAAAATGTAAATGCCATCCATCCATTCGCTTCCGCTGATCCTTTTCAGGGTCGCGCTGGAGCCTATCCCAGCTGTCATAGGGCGAGAGGCGGGGTGCACCCTGGACAGGTCGCCAGTATGTCAGGGCCAACACACAGGGACAGACAACCATTCACACTCACATTCACTCGCACATTCACAGCTAGTGGCAATTTGTATTATCCAATTAACCTATCCCCACAAGCTGCATGTCTTTGGACGGTGGGAGGAAGCCGGAGTACCCGGAGGGAACCCACGCAAACACGGGGAGAACATGCACACTCGACACAGAAAGACCCCGGCCTGATGGTGGAATTGAACTCAGGACCTTCTTGCTGTGCGGCAACAGTGCTAACCACCGTGCTGCCCAAAATGTAAATGCTAACAAATAAATTCTATTTTTTTAATGTTTTATTGAACAAATCCCTGTGTGTCCTGTAAAAGGTACATGTATTTCTCTCACTGCTGAAGGTGGATTCTCATGTTCACATAAACTCAATGTGTGCCACCTGCTAGCAACCAAAGCAATAAAGGAAGTTAAAGAAGGAGAATTAATGTATGATTCTCTAAAACAGAGCTAAGGCTAATGCTTTTAAAGGGGATTTATTACAGCTACATTATATTATTAAAGCAGTTCTTTACGTCGTAATGGGACTGCGACGCTTTTTCACCGACTAAATGAACTACAAGTTTATGGCAGCCATCCCAGCGACCCTCTCCCTCCTTTTAAGCCAAGTTTCTTCTGATTGGCTGCTCTTCATAAATAAAACCCACCAAGTGGGTGGGGCTTGTACACTCACAGCAACAGATGGTAACAGAGATCAGTGTATTAGGGATCTCTGCTCACAGTGACATCATACAGATCCAAAAGTAGAAAAAAAATAGTTTGAAGTAAGAAAGTCAGATTTGACCTCACACGGATTATTTGTTACTATTTGAAACGTTCATCATGTTTAATGTTAGGATCCTCTGAAGTAACACGTGTGTGATACAAAGTAGGTTGTGTGCCCTCAGCTGGACGTGTTTAGCAGTTCATGCAGTGTGTGTGTGTGTGCGTGCTAGTAAAAAACACCTTGACACAGAGTCAGTCACCACGATAGGTTACAGCAGTCAAGCTTTTTCTTCAAAGTGCGGTTTTGCCGTGCTTCACGGAGGATGGACGGTCCTCTCACCATCACATTCTGGCAGATTTAGTTTCCCGTTCAGAAGACAACCAGCAAGAATGAGTCCGAAAATAATCTCTGGTGGAATTCAGTGCCCCGCCAGCTGTGGGAGCATAACGCGGTTTCACAGGCAGCAAAGCCAACCGCCCAGCAATTATCTAAGCCAAAGTGCCACACAGTGGCACAGGTGCACTTTAGAGCAGCTGTAGTGACACTTGGAGGTCTCCCAGCTGAAACAGCGCCTCGCTTTAAACCAACCGTTGTCATGCGTTATTTTTTTAACAACCCATAGAAAAGAAAAACTTTCGAGCTGTCAATTAAAGATGCTGAAACCAGACTGCAGAGATGGAATAATCTTTTCCAAGCTGGGGAAATGTCAAAGCAAAGCAAACAAACTGTTCTTTATGGATGCTTCGACAGGAAATAAGTTCAAAAGTCCTCGGGGTTTGAGTTGCGATTGGCTTGTTCTGCTGCATTTGGCTGCCTTCTTCCATCTGGTATGTGCGTGTTGACAAGGTGTTAGCAGACAATACATTAGGCGAGGAACTTCTCTATTATTACATTTTTATAGCTAAGTGCCCTGGTTTGCGGCTCGATTTGATGACAGGCTTGGCATTTATCCGCCTACAGAATGACGTTAGCGTGTAAATCTGACCCCGGCTCTGAGAAATAATGGAGAGAACATATGGCTTTGTGCTGTCTTGTGCTGGATTGTTGAAGCGGCTTTTCTCTGGGGGAAAACCATCATTCACGCCAACCCGGGTTTCTGTTTGTTTTTCCATTTCCGCAGAAATACGCTTTGAAATGCAGAGGACAGAAGGCGCCTCGTGGATGAGCTAACTTTAGTGCCCCTACAAACGGTCGAGCTTTAGTATGTGGCCTGCTCGGGGTTGCAAATGCGTGCTGTGCAAGCCGCAGTCAAAAGAGAAGACTGACGCTGCGTAAAACGCAAAGCTCGCGGCGGGTTGCATGCATTGGAAACATGTCACTCGTGCATCTTTGCGGTCTCACCGCGTGTGTGTTTGTACAACATTGCGGTTTGAGCTCTGACCCATACGTCGAGTCTTGCATCTGCATGAAAGGCATGGTTTGCTGTTGTGGAATAAGGTGAGCAAACACAGACTGAGCTGCACTCAGTCCCTGTTTCCAAGTCCAGATGTCTTTCCAATCACAGAAGGTCCTGCCTCGTGTTTTTTAGAGAAGGCGAGGCCGTGGATGCATCTGTCCATGCTACACAGAAATAAGGAAAGATGTCTGATATAACACACGGTCACTTCTCCCACAGCTGCGGATATTTATTTGCTTTTGCTTAATGATGGAAACACTGAGTAACATGCTTTTGCTTGTTTTAATAGATGGTGAAGGTTATATAACAGTCATCAAGGGTTGCTAATATATTTACTGTATTTGACAGAATAATGGCTTTAAGTCTTTAACAGTCCAGCCTGCAGTGCCATATATCCACAAGCTATCACGCAAATATTTGGGATGTATAAAATATTCGGACGTTGCCTGTTTCAGTTTGAATCTTTCAATTTCGTTTGAGTGAAACGCAGTTTTAGCAGCAGTGCAGCTGTCCCATTACCTTTGCTGGCCACTGCCACTTCCCTCCAGTGTATACTGGTTCTTGTCACATACTGTACATAGCGCTCCAACTTTATGCAAAGCTGCACTCGCTGAGTTAATATGCAGCTAGCCACCAAACTATATCCACACAGGAGGTGGTTGTAACACCTCAGGCTGCTACTGAGTGTGCATGAAAACTAGTCAGAGTCCAAGCAGGTCAACACAATCAGGCTTTTTACTGCACAGAGGACGAAACTCGGTTCCCAGCTCCACGTCACACTCACGCTTTGTAACAATCTTAAAATTGCTGCTTCGTTTACTTTGGCATAATGCACATTATATAGAGATCTCTGTACATACCTTTACTGTAAGAGGACTGATTGTGCTAGCTTCACTCTCCAGAGGCTCATTCTAAAAACCGAATATTGTAACAAGCAGCCACTGATGAAAAGTTGAACCAGTGATTAATTATAAACAGACTAGAATAAATAAGCAATTTAGCAAAAATGAAAAAGTTGGTTCAAAGTAGAACGGAAAGTTTAAAGTGACCAAACAGCTGACCTAGAAACGAAAGGCAACTGTGCTCACGGGACACTTTGTTTGAATTTGGACCCTTTTTGTCTGTTTTAATTCTTCGTGGCACAAACACAAAACGTTCCTGGAAACATTCCTCAGCGATTTTGTTGTTACTGACACAATAACATCACACAAGTGCTGCAGGTTTGTCTGCTACACTTCCGTGATGTGAGTCTGCGATTCGAGAACATGCCAAACGTACAGTGAACTCATTGTTGTGTTCAACAAAGCAGTTTGATATAACTGAAGCTTTGTGGTGTGCCGTCATCAGAAGACGTGCACATAAAGGGCTGCACGTGGTCAGAAAAATACCCAGGTCATTAATGCTCACCGGTCCGGTGATGTAATAGGACAAACTGCTAACACAAGGCAGGACGGATCCATTCTTCCATGTTGTTTACATCAAATTCTGAACGTTGCAGCAGAAACCGGAGTGGCACCGAGCGTCCTTTTTATTCTTTCTTCCTGCTGGAGTTTGAAGTTTATGGAGCTTCACTGAATTCCAGCTTTATCTGGAGAACCCGTTCCCCTCCTGTATTTGAAAAGCCCAGAAGGAGAAGCCACCAAAGTGAAACTACGAACATGTAATCGTGGAGAAACAAAGTAGCTCTTTTTTTCAGTTTATTCAAATCTGACATTTTTGTTCTGTGTTTGTGTTCCAGAACATCTGCGGTCAGAAGAGCTGCGACACGCTGGGCGTGGCCGATGTCGGGACGATGTGCGATCCCAAGAGAAGCTGCTCGGTTATCGAGGACAACGGCCTGCAAGCTGCCTTCACAGCTGCACACGAGCTCGGTGAGGTCGCATTGGGGGGGCTGACGCGATCCTCGGCTTTATGGAAAAGCTTCTTAGATCGAGTTTTCAGTCATTCCTAAACACTCAAGCACCTTCAAAAACTGTCACCTCCTGCAGGTCATGTGTTGAGCATGCCTCATGATGACTCCAAGACGTGTGAGAGACTCTTTGGCGATTTGGGAGGTCATCACCTGATGGCGCCTGTGTTCGTCAGCCTCAACAAAACCATGCCTTGGTCGCCCTGCAGCGCGCTCTACGTTACCGAATTCTTTGACAACGGGCACGGTGAGGCACACTGCAGCTTGTTGCTCTACAGCAGACATTAATGTCTTGTGCCAGTGTGGCTGCCTGCCACGCTGTGACTCTGTTATTAGGGCTGACTCAGAGATGTATAAAACATACGCTTCCTCTCATCCTCTCGTGAACCGAGGCTTTCCTGCTTAAACATGCCGCTCCCCTTAAATTACGGGTTGGACGCTCAATTTATTTCGCCCGAGGTTTCCACATCCTGCTCTCTTTCTTTTGCCTTACCTCTGTTGCTCCCTCTCCCCCTGCCTTGTTGTGCATCTTGTATTGTTTGTATCCTTGCTAGATCTGTCAGTGAACCTTCTTTTCCACTGAGTCATAATATGGACTTCTTCCTGTTCCCCACCTCCTCGGCCAAAAGCAACAGCTGGTGTCAGCAAAATATGTTCTTTATCAGTTGGAAAATGTTTCCAACAAAAACTCATGTGGCTGAGAATGTTCATTCCGAACCGCAGATGTCATTGACAGCTCCAGACAAAAGCTTATTGAATGCAATAAAGATCATTAGAGGAATAATGGAAAACAATCAGATTTGGATTACCTGTCAGACGTCCAGATTCAGAGCATTAGGCTGCCTATAAACATGCACTACATCAGTTAAAGTGAAATTATTCCGTTTTATAGTCAGGACACAGCTTGCACTGAATACTTTCCCACTGTTGTCATGCCACACGCAGCATATTTACGATTGTCACTGTGCCGCGAGAACCACAGTCTCCACAAACCCCGATATAATCGGCCTCATACGGACTTGTTTTGTGCTGTAACCACAGGGGACTGCCTGCTCGATGTCCCAGAGAGCGCCATGCCTCTACCAAAGGAGCTGCCAGGCTCCAAGTACAGCGTGGACCAGCAGTGCCAGCAGATTTTTGGAGAGGAGTTCGTCCACTGCCCCAACACCTCCGACAGCGATATCTGCATTCAGCTGTGGTGTCAGGAGGAGGGGACGCTGGAATGCTCTACCAAGAAGAGCCTGCCCTGGGCTGATGGCACCCCCTGCAGTGCCAATGGAAGCTGCCTTCATGGCGTCTGCGTGCCAGTCTATGAGGCGATGAAGCCACTGGTAGGCCCGAGTCTTTTTCCCTGTTTTTTAAAAGACACCTTACTAAGTTACATTTGATGGCAGTAAAATCCTTTGCTTTCATGAACAGGGACCGGAAGTATCTCAGCTACCAGCTATGAACACCAGCATTAGCTCGCGGTATCAGCTGTGTAATTCTCACTACTGAGTCAGTGCCCCTCCCACACGACCTCTTTTATTTTAAAGTTTGACCTTTTTATTGTATTATTGGTCAAATATTTTAAGTATTGCTAGCAGGAATTTTATCTCACAACACAAATACTGCATCCAAACTTGCCGACTTAGCAGCTCTTATTGAGTGCTCACACATGATCAGTGTGTACATTGAAAGATATGCTTGCAGAGTACTGTGGAGAAGCCTTAGAAATAAGTTCACCGTGACACACAACTAAGAAAGGGACACAGTTTGTAGGTAGATGTGCAGAAATGCACCTCCTGCATGCCTGTTTCACATCAGTGCACCTGCTGCCTTTGTGCCGCCGTGCTAGTGAGCCTGATTTTTGTTTTTTCCTCGTCAGTCGGTAAAAAACAAAAAGTGAGGCTGACGTTTGTTCATTCAGCTGTTTCCCAACACATGAGCCACACCATCCTTGTAAGGCCATGAGGTGATTAGGCTTGTAGTGGCCATGGCGACAACATAAGGTCACGATTGCTTTTGGAAGAAAAGAAATATCAGTGCAGCTTTGAGACCAAAGATTTTCACACGAGGGTCAGAATTAGGGCTGGGTATCGCCACTGATTTCTAGAATCGATTCGATTCGATTTGAATCTGGGAAATTTTGCCTCAGACAGTCAGAAATATTATAATTCAGATCTGTACATTTACATATTTTTGTATCTATAAGAAGGAAGCTGACACTTTCCAGACTTTATCAAAGGTGTGAGCATCACAGCAGAGGCCTTTGTGTCAACGTAGCTGAAGATAAAACAGAAAAACATGAAGGTGATTTTCCTGTTCTGGGATTTTATAAAAATATTCTGCAGTAGATCAAAAACAAATGAAAATCATTAACCAGCATATGAACATCACCTCTGATGTTACAGCAGTTTTATTAGAGACACGGCGTTTTGCATTTTGCATAATTTTAAAAAGTTTACATGTGTTTAGAAGCCTGTTGAACAGCAGAAATTAGGTTTTCTTTTCAGAAGTAAGTAAAAGAAAAAGAGAGAGAGAGGGAGAGAGAGCTGTGCATGAACTGAGATTTTATCCTGGTGGAAGCAAAACAGTAAACGTCAGAGTGAATCCATGACGATGTTTGTGTGAAGCGTAGTTTGGATCTTCTTTGGCTGCTGGTTCGGTCAATATTGTTTGGAGAGACATCAAACTAACAGCTTTAGAATCAGTGAAAAAAGGGCGTGAACACAAAGCTCGACCCGCCGACTCATCAGAGTCAGCGAGCTGTCGGCTTTCAGCCCCGACCGTGTCCGTGCCGTCGGTGAGAAAGTCACATCTCACTGATTCTGATGCGTCGGCGGGTCCGAGCTTTGTGTTTACGTCTCTGTGCAGAGTCTGTGCTCCTGCTCTCATTTACTGTTTTAGCTGTTTGGTGGTTGTTGAAATTTTGTGAGGTTTAACCTGAGATTCTGGCGTTTTGGGCAAAATACATTTATATAAAAAAATCGATTCAGGAATTTAATGAATCGATATCACGTTATCCAAGCCGGAATCCATTTTAATCGATGAATCGATTATTAAAACCCAGCCTAGTCAAAATCCTTGGTTTTCCAAGCTTTTTTCTGAAGCACGTGTTTTTTCAGTAACCCTTACAGTCTTTGGACCCTGTTCCCATCTTCTTGCATGTTGCATGCTGACGTTGTTTATTTCACTGGCTCACCACCAAAGAATGTTCACAGTGTCTGATGAGTCACTTCCTTTCAACAGAGTAATCAGGTTTGTAGTCATAAAGCTCTAATGAGGCCGGCATCCTCAGCACATTTTGGAGGTTTTGCTCATGCTGCGTTAGATAAGCTGTGGATAATGCACGAGTTGTCTCACAGTTTATTCTTAATCTGATGTTCCAATGAACATAAATGCACTAACTGCATGTCTTTGGCGTGTGGGCGGAAGCTGGAATACCCACAGAGAGCCCACGCAAATATGGTAAGAACCATCAAGCTCCGCCCCAAACTGTGGATTCAAACCCACAATGATAGCAGAGAGATGACAGCAGATAGCAAAGCTAATACGCTAACAACAGACAAGTGATGAGAGTCAGCAAGGCCAAAATATTCCCTGTGGTGGAGAATCTCACTGCTTCCATAATACAAAACTCTGCATGTTTGTACAAAGTGTTGCATTAGCTGAGACCTGACTCGTTTTCATAAATGCTGCCATTTCAAGTTGAAGTACAGACATTAAAGGGCTCAGAGAACGCATTATAAACTGAGCTGTGTCTGACTTTGGCGAGTTGAAATGCAGATCCTTCACGATACCTTTTTAGATTTCCTCAAAGAACATCTCAGCATCTTATTTAAGGTCGGTCGCCTTGATACCTTCTCCTTGTGTTCTGAATACACATCTGTTTATGAATCCAGACATGCTGGCCGTTGGGATGTGGTTCAAGCTTATAAAACTTCTGGAAAGAACAACCTTGCTAGCAAACACACATGCACACGCGCACATACTCACTCAACGTACAAACTTGGAGCATGGCAGGTTCTACTAGCAGTGAGTGACACATGTGGCAGGAATGTGGGTAAAGTCAGACAGCAGGCGCGTGCCGAACTTCAACACAGATTTAGCCTCGAGTCGCGGCATGCCAACACGCTGTGCGGCCTCAAACCCAGAAGCCCAGACTGTGGTTTAGGCTGCACAGCTGACATTGCCTTTGGCTCAGAGCACTAACCAACTACTCTGCTCTTTTTTTCCTGTGTGTTTTACCGCAGATGGTTGTGGACGGCGGCTGGAGCTCGTGGGGACCGTGGCAGCAGTGCTCTAGGACGTGTGGAGGTGGGGTGGAGTTCTCCTACAGGGAGTGCACTAACCCAGTGCCTCAGAATGGAGGGAAGTACTGTGAAGGGCAGAGGGTCCAGTACCAGTCCTGCAACATACAGCCATGTGACAACAATGAAGGTAAGGGTCAACGTAATACAGCTCTCAGCTTTCAAATGAACAAAGAAACAGCTTCTTATATCGCTTGTTCCCAACAAATGTTTGTCCCACATCTGCACTTTCCATTGTCCTACATTTGGCCTTGACTGGCAGCATTGACCCGGGGTGAGTCTGGCTGCCACAGACCTACTGTAGATCCGCTTTATGCAGGCCAGATGTTAGGTGTGTTGGCATATTTGGGCGAGGGTTGGCCCCACCGCACGTTGACCCCACCTTATGATGTTTTGGCCACAGTTTCCAAACCCAACCCTCACCATAAGCCACAGGAACATTAGGCCACAGGATGTGATCCCCGAGTGCCTCTGCCAAAGCCCAAGATCTACATCGCAACCTTAAGAAAAACTCTCTAAACCTGCTCTGAAATGTGCTGTGTTCTTCCCCAGGCTCCACCGTGTCTTTAGAAATGAAAATTAAGCTTTGCAACAGATGGACATTTTTATGAAGAAAAAAACAAAACAAAAAACTATGTACCAGCTCGTGTTCAAACCACTCCACAAACTCTGGAAGAAACTGTGTAATTTAAACACATTAAGCTTGGTTCTATCTAGAACCTCTTTTCTGCCAAAGTGCTGCCAGTGTTGTTGACCACACTGCAAATCATGAGCAGGAGAACAAAACAGGTGCTTATAGACATCTACCGACCACTGATGTCAGCAGATCCAACTTTGTAGTTTTGCAGTGTTGACTTGTTCCAGCTTTTTGCGACATTCAACTGTCTTTTCTCTACAGAGTTGTAGATAAAAGACAATTCATTGTAGATAATGAGCGGGGACAGCAGAGCAGGCTTGGATTAAAACTTGTGATATTCCGACTTGAGCAGCAGAGCTCGGTTGGGGCAGGGGTAACACAGGGATGGAAACAAGTGACGAGCTGGAAGCTAAAAGTCTGACGCTGCAGACATTACAGATGGAGCTGCAGGCGAGAGGAGACGAGGGTCGGGATTCTGTAACGAGTAACAACAAAATAAGAAGTTGCATAAGCACGCAGCAGGCTGGTGGTGGCAGAGTTGGATATTTGTAGAGAGCTTGATTGTTGTGATGAGGCACAGCTGGCACAGATCTGCTCGGACTCTAGAACAGCTGTTTGCACTCAGATGATCACAGGCCGACAGGGAGACGGCACTGGAGGCAACAGGGGGACGCTCAATCGAAAAACAGCATTTTCTAGACTGACCCACAGCCTGCATATAAAAGACAGATGTAGGTGCTGTGATTTGAGCCATCTTGTAAGCAGGGATGGGGGGATGGGAGTGCGGAAATGACCACCCATGCAGCAGGGACATGTCAGCGACACTAGTGTGGACACTAATTTACAAATTAAGACTCATGTTGTAGACATGAAACTAAAGACTCCAATGAAACATCTTCACTGAGGGCAGACCAGAGGAGTCACTAATGTATCACTGTAACCAATAAAAGAACTGCAAAAACACACCATATGGCCACGCCTCCTAATCTTTGAGTCAGAGTGTTTTACAGTCACGCACTGAACTGTGTGGCCTGCCTTTAGAAACATTAGCAGAAGAATGGGTCGTTGTAAAGAGCTTGCTGAATTCCAGTGTGGTGCTGTAACAGGATGGCACCACTGCAACAAGTCAGTTCATGAAATGTCCTCCCTTCTAGATATCATGAGATTCACTGTGAGCGTGAATATTGCAAAGGGGAAGCTTGTAGAAATCTCCCCAACTCGGCCGTGAAGCATCCTCCATCGCCACAAAAACTGCACGCTTCAAGCATGGCTGAGCTCCTGTAGGTGCGATGTGCAGCTGGCCCAGTATGTTTGTCCATATAGTGTTTTCTAATCAGGTTTTATGTTTTGATGCTACATAATTAATTGTTGTCCACCAGCCTGATCCAGACTCTGCTGGTGTTCATCTATTTTTCTGCGTTGCTCTAATGAATATAAACATACAATTGATCAGGTGTTCGGATTATACAAATAATATTGTTTTGGTAGAGTATCTTAATTTATTGTTTCTTCATGTTAGGTAAAAGTTTCAGGGAGGAGCAGTGTGAGAAGTACAGCAGCCCCAACTACCTGGACCACAACGGGAACGTGAAACAGTGGATACCAAAGTACGCTGGTGTTTCTCCCAGAGACAGGTGCAAGCTGTTCTGCAGGGCCCGGGGCAGCAGTGAATTCAAGGTGTTTGAATCCAAGGTACAATAACGTCACTCGACAGCAAATCTCAATGAAAGGAAAGCCAGTAGTCTGAAGCACTGGTTCAGTTTTTTAAATCAGAATAGTGGTTTTAGAAAAGCGTCACTCATTCCTGAAGTCCCAGCTCTGCTTCATAGCCAGTGTCATAACCAGCTCCAACATCATGACCGTGACCTCCATCCACTGATGAACACCCTGACATGATGTTGAACTGTATTCAAAATATAGTTGAATGGGACATGTGTAGTGACCCACCGATGCTTGCTCCATCCCTGCAGGTGATTGACGGGACCCCCTGTGGCCCTGACACCACATCTGTGTGTGTCCAAGGACAGTGTGTGAAGGCAGGCTGCGACCAGGTGATAGGATCCAACAAGAGAGTGGACAAGTGTGGAGTGTGTGGAGGAAGTGGGCTGACCTGTAGAAAGATCACAGGCTCGAGCAACAAAGCAACGTAAGCCGATCAGATCAACGATAATGCAACCGTTCTCCGACTTGTATCCCCATGTGATGTCTGTGTTGTATGTGTAAGGTCGGGGGGCGGGTTCATTCCACTGCAGGGCGACCTGCCACTACATGTGGCGAATAAACTTTGAACTTGAACGTGATAATAAAAATGATAAAGCACTAAAAGGCTTAGACAAATATATTGATGTCTTTCCTTCTACTGTAGTTAATTAGTAGATTAATTGATTGTGTTGTTAGATCATATTTCGCCCACTATAATACAAATCTTTTTTTAAATTCTACTTGCTTATGTTGTACTTGAGGCCCATTCACAAGAATTTATTCACCCCAAATATCAATTTAGGTCCTTCATAACGTTTGGCCCAGCCATTTGTGGTATTCTGATTATCTGTCTCATTTTATTTATGCTTTTTCTGATCTACTCAACATAGTTTAGATAAGATTAGTAGTTTCATACATGTTGGTAGGTTGATTATAGTTTCACGCTTCTTCTGTTTCAAACCAAGTTCATCTCCTTTCACCTGGAAGTTCTAATTAATGCACAGATAAGATATTCTATAGTAAACTGTTATCTGTTCTTTTTCTTCTCCATCAGCTATGGATACAGTGACATTGTCACAGTTCCCACTGGCGCTACTAACATTGACATCAAGCAGCGGAGCCACCGAGGAATCAAGCACGATGGCTACTACCTGGCTGTAAAGAGAGAGAGTGGCAGTTACATCCTTAATGGTAACTTCTCCGTGTCCACGGTTGAGCAGGACATTCCGGTGCTGGGCGCAGTACTGAAGTACAGCGGCTCTTCCACGACGCTAGAGAGGATCCAGAGCTTCAGGCAGCTCAAGGAGGCCATCACCATCCAGCTCCTCGCCACTGCAGGAGATGGTAGCCCTCCCAAGGTCAAATATACTTTTTTCATCCCTAAAGATGTGACTTTGAACAAACCCAAGGAGAAGAAGGGCTCGTCCCTGTCTTTGCATATGATTCGTCCGTTTGGCGTGCCTGAATGGGTGCTGGGCGAGTGGTCTCTGTGCTCCAAGACCTGTGGATCCGGGTGGTCCAGGAGAAACGTTGAATGCATGGACGACGAAGGCTTCCTCTCCAGTCAGTGTGACAAAGACCTAAAGCCCATAGACATCAGGCCCTGTGCAGATCTGCCCTGTCCCATATGGCAGATGGGACCTTGGTCTGCCTGCTCACGAACTTGTGGTCAGGGGGAGCGCCACCGCAGCATTTTCTGCATAGACTACACTGGCAAGACTGTTGAAGCAGAACAGTGCGATCCAAGAAAGATCCCAGAGCCGGTGTCTGGGGAATGTTTCAACCAGGACTGCTTGTGAAGAACACGAGTACAGCGGACTCATGGTCATAGTGCACTTATGAACAATGGATGGATTACTGAACAGGTGGACGCACCAAGAATAATGCTGGGGTCCATTAGATCAGGGACAGTATGACTACAAACACACACAGAGCGATCCACAAAACCAAAGAAATGATAATTATGACCATTCTTTTTCACCTGCAAGATGTTTTATGCCTTTCAATCTGGAGGGTCCTGTTGTTACGCAGGAGTGGCAGTAGTGGCAGTGGTGGTGGGTGGGGGTTAAACGTCTACATCCCAGGGCCCATTGCCTCATAATCCATCCATCTTATCGACTGGTTGCATCAAATCACATCAAAGGCTTTTAGCTGAATATTGCTATGTCATTCTGTTGACATCATTTGACAACCACTATTGAAACAATGGAAATCTACCTCAGGATGTACATGTGATGCTATGCATAGTTGCTAAGAGAAGGTGCAGTGTGTGTGTTTCCTCCAGAATGAGAGATTTAGTCCAGCTTAAAAGATTGTTTTTGGAGGCCGTCTGCTATTAACAGCAGTTCGGTGGGGCTAGAACAATGAAACCTGCTGTCAGACACCAGCACAGTGTAAATATACCTCGTCCAGCTGTAATCCACAGAATCAAGCCCCTATAGAGCTTTGATCGAGCCACTTGCCCTTAAATAAGGTACGGACGTACGATCGAGGCACTTGTGTGTGATTGCTTCGTCTTTTCAAACACACATTAATGTAATTTGTGTTAAATTCGTGTGACGAGGACGTCATGGTTTTATCTGGAGAGTTAGTATTGTTGAGCCAAACCCATAGCTCTCACTATATTTACTGGCTGCTGGAGCCAACATCAAAAGCTAGGCATTTCCCACACTTTGTACATGTATTAGCCTCGATCATGTCTGGTCTTTCTGATCGGACAACCCAACGACAGACCACTCGACCCCGTAACGTAACTGTAGCCTTGTTCCATGTCCACGTGCATCACAGTGTAGTTGAGCAACAGCAGTACAACCAGTCTGCAATATTTTATTTTGGAGGTGTTATTACTAAGTTAAGTGATAAGCATATTATCTATCATGTATATGAAAAAATAACAGTAATTTTATTCATTTTCCCTTTAGTTCATGCATCATATGCAAATGTTTGCAGATGTTTCAGACTCATGTGTGTATATTTGATTTCTTCATTCCTGTTGTTAATTTACAGTATGTTATAAAAGAGATGGAGGATTAGGCCTGTATCCCTTCAGTGAAGGAATATGCTATTATTACAGCTTCCTTTTTAAGCTATTTATTTTTGTAAAGTTTTTACCTTGGACATGTAAGTAACATGGCAGACGCTGCTGTCTTTGAGATAATTGTCTATAAAATGGTCAAATAAACACATTTATGTCGATGTGTTGTTCTCTTGTACTGTGAGTGACCCTCCACAAAACATCACTAAAAACATATGAAAGTATTGGCATTATTAACTACGCATAGAAATTTCGAGTGAACATTAGCGATAAGGACTCATAAATTTCACAAAATATTTCACGTAAGATCTCCAGTATGGAAGCCCGTTTCCGCCACTAAAAGAACAAACAAAAAAACAAGTATCCATAACTCGAAATTTCAAGTTATTAACTCAAAATTTTGAGAAAAGTATTTGAGTTATTTTCTCAAAATGTCGAGTTAATAGGTCTAAATTTCGAGAAAATAACTTGAAATTTCGAGTTATGGATCCTTTTTTTTTTTGTGGGCTTCCATACTCCAGGGTTCATTTTTAGGCTGAACGACACTAAAACTCGCCACAGATGTGTGGAATTCTTTTAGGTGCCTGGTAGCTTTTAAAAGTTGGGTGAGGCAAGTTTTACAAACCGAAACCTTTTCCAAAGTTCTGTAAAAATCCTCCCACGCTGGAATAACTTCTCCGCTCAAATATTTCAAAGACAGCCATATAAGAATATATTCAGTAGCTGTGGTTAGGGAGGAACCCAGCCACTTAACAACATCCTGTTTTAACGCCTGTTATTCTATATTCTGAGCTTGGTTGATGTTAAAATCATAATAGTTCAAAAATACCAGCATGACCATAATCACGTTATCCACAGTTCAGTTTGACTTTCAGTTGGTATGCAATGTTTCAGCAGACCGTAGAGCTTTATCACGCTGAAGAAATTCAAAGTCTGAAATGAAAGCTATTTAAAAGAAATAACGAGAAACTCTTTTGAATGTCAGTCAAATGATGACCAAAAAATAACTGTTCAATCTTTCTCCTGTGTAGGAGTGTTGGGGGCTGTTCATATGTTACAGTCCATCCATAATGATGGTTGTCGTCATCTTGTTTAGTTAATCATTTAATTATCTTCTTACACCAGTTCAAATGATTTATTATTATTATTATTTCTGCTTTTTTTCTGGCATTACTGGGAAAATGGACCTCAGCCAAAATGCTATATTGCATTGCAGAAGGTGGTCAGGATTATCCTCTTCACCAGAGCTCAGATGATCCAGTGCTCTTCACCAGCTTCCCCCCAGCAAAGTATACTGAACTAGCCACAAGTGACTGATAGAAAATCTCCTGTACTGTGCTGCACAGACCGAAGCACCTCAGCTTCCTCGGAGTTTAGCCTGTTGTCGGTCTATGTACTCTTCCACCACATCAACATCCTGTCCCAAGATATTCACCAGTTGTGCAGCTGTCCTCTTACTTCATCTCTAGTCTTATTCAGATACAGAAGACTTTTCTCCGACTCCATAAAATCACCCACTGTAATACTCCTGCCCATCACTAATGTCCAACCACTGCAGATTCATTAAGAGTATTTCTGCAGGTGGCATGACCCCGAGTTATACTGAAAGTCAGAGGTTTACATGGTTAACAGGAGCTCCTGAACTGCACACCATCATTTTATTTAAAAGTTACAATAAATAGAGGCATCAAGAAACACAGGATGTTGTAATATAAAAGGATTTAGAAGAGTTAAAATCACAGATTGTAAGTAAAAGATTATCAAATTACTTTAAATAATAGATGTGATAATATAAAGACGAGAAAATGTACAAATACAGCAGATTTGCACATGCTGTGATTCTATGAACATCTCTATAGAGAAAATATAAACTTCACACAAATGCATACAAACAGTGGGGACCCCCAAGCTGCCCCGAGGTGTGCGTACACAGCTTAATGTGAGACTTCCTGTTTCTGACAGTACTGTACAGTACAGTGGGAGATGCGCGTTGCATTGTGGGGGTACAAATACAGCGCAGAAAGGACAGCGGGGAGCACAAAGGGGTAAAAACTGCACCTCGGCAACTTTTAACACCAGCCTGCTGTAATGTGAATTCATGTGAGCCTTAATTAAAGCGCGACTTTTGGCGGCTGGCAGGCTGACAACTGCTGGAAGAGCGAGGAATGTGAAGGGAGCGGAGAAGAGCGGCAGGGCACACCGCTGTCTCCAACTGCTTTGTCAGCTGAGCTGTTTGCGACCCGAGGCCCATCCGTTATCACAGGCCTCACCCGAGAAGGTAAACTACCTTCGTCCGCTGTGCCTGATAACGCTAACCGTGGTGTGTATATTCCTGTCTGGTTGTGTTGCTTTCTCGACACTGAAAACGACAGACAAACCAACTAAGAGCGCCGTGTTGTCTCAGCTATCGCTAGCTTGGCAGCTAATGCCAGTTAGCTCCCGTGGAGCAGCTGCGTCAAAGTGCAGCGGCTAGTCTGCGGTCAAAACGGAAATGGGAATACGTCGGCTTCAAAATAAATGAAGTCAATTAAAAATGTTCTCTTATTTTGTATATTTCTGTCTTAGTATTTATGCAGATTGGTAAAATCTCAGACTGCAGTGCAGTTCAGAAAGCTAACTTAAAAAAACACCACAGGTCTACCAGCAATAGTTGTGAATAACACATGAATATAAATGATGACTAGTATAAATGGCTATTATAGTCATATAATAGAAATAATCACTTTACGTCGTGCAAGTTGTAGGTAACAACTGTGTTTTAAACCCGTTGAACGACACCAGTAACTGTCACACATTAACGTGCCCCATTTGCTTCAAATGATTTGTCAGGTTCGTTTGGCTTTTATTTTGAAAATTCAAATCGCCTCCTGGCAAACTCGGCGTCTGTTTGACACCGTTAGCTAGTGTTTGCTAAACTGTGATTGTTGTTGCAATCATGTTCACGGAGCATCTTGTCCACTTGAAACTGAGATGCACACACACTCGAAACACACACACACAGTCGTTCTTTGTTTGTTTGTTTTATTCACATTCTCAGCTTTCTGCTGTTATAGTCCTGCACTTTGCTCACTTTGGCTTCATGCAATGCAATTAGTATAAGTACAGGATGAAGGCCACGCCCCCTCGACCCTGTCGTCTGTCATATAGTCATTATTTAATCAGTTGCATGCAAGCTTATTTGTCTTATTATTCACCTGCTAATAAACTAATAAACAGCATCAAAACAAATCCCATCAACACTGTGCAAAACAAGGGATTTAGGAAAATGATCAACACCCTAGACAAACGCTGCACAGTGCCGTCCCGCAACTATTTTTCTGTTGTTGCACTACCTGCTCTGTACACGCAGCGTCGAGCAACGGTGGAGACGGAATTTCAAGCAGTACAACATTTTACGGCAACGACAAAATGTGAGACATTTGTTGTTTTTATGTTTATTTATTGTTTTTATGTTCAGTCTCAACTGTTACGAAGTTGATGTGGAGTTACTAAGTGCAATAAATATTTATACTGGAAAAGAGAATCGTGAGAGAATCGTGATCTCAATTCTAAGCCAAAAAATCGTGATTCTCATTTTATGCAAAATCGTGCAGCCCTACTCCATAGTGATTTAAATAGTCCTCTAATGAGTGAAAGGGCCTTGGTCTGATCACAGGAGGACACAAAGTGAGGAAGAGCTCCTGGTGTTAAGAAAAAAAATCTCTTGTGAATAAGCGAGCAGCCAGAAGTTTACCAAGTGCCCGTGCACTTTAAAAGGCTTTGTTCCTCTGGACGTTACAGGATTCTCCCATGAATTTCACTTCAAAATTCTTTCAGTGTCTCTGTCAGAGGAAAGTTTGACGAGGCGGGTAATATCATGAGTTAGCACACCGGGCAGATGCTGCATATGTGGAGGAATAACATTTGTTATTGATTTTTCTGCACACGTTTTGGAATAACTTGGGCGTGGAAAGTTGAATAGTCGATGCAATTATTTCTTTTCTTCAAATACATCTTCTCTCTTGTTTTTTATCTAGACGGTAAGAAAGATGGACATAGCTTCCACCATCCTGCAATCTGAAGGCCACCAGGTGGCAACAGGTGTGATTGTTAAGAGACTCCCAGTCTTACAGAAGTGTGTCGGGGTGAAAAGGCTTTCTTATGTTCGTCACCCATTATGAGTGACATCACACTAAATAAAAAATGAAGCCTGTTTTATAAACGTTGGTCAGCTGTGGTGTTTTCCACTTGATCATTGGCTAATGACTTACAGTCACAGGCCTGTCCTGTGAATCCACGGGCTCTGCCTCACGTTCTACTTTTAGAAACAACTGAGAGCGTAGTGCTCTATTGAGAAACCAGAGAGGCTTTTAAGACAGGACGGGGCCTGATTGTTCATAAATTTGAGAGAAGAAGGATTTTACCCTGAATTCTGGATTGAACCAACCTGGCTGCAGCATTTTGGATCAAGTCAAGACTTTCAGGGAGTTTTTAGAAGAACCTGAAAATCTGAAACAGGATATTTCTCATTTTAGCAACATTGCACAGATTTAAGACATGCCTGTTGTGAAACCTGACCAATTTATTGCTGACATTATTTGCCAATTATTTGCATTTACAACAACAGTTGAATGAAGAATTTAAAATGTAGAGACACCCTTCAACCATGTTGTGGGTGTCTAAATTGCCTAGTTTGCCCACCAAAGAGGATTGTGCAGCGTCGCTGTTGAAAACACGTACTGTGAATGCTGCAAAGAGAACAACCAGCGGATTCAAGCAGAGTCACGCAGACTGTAAATAAATAAGAGTGCGTAACAAACGTTTTATTTTTCTGCATCTGAATGAAAAAAATATTGTCTGGTATTTTGAATTCACTCTTGAAAAGGATTTGTGTCGTCTGACTTCATAGGTAAATGCACAGCAATGCAAATATAAATATATAAAGAAGAAGTAGAGGTCCTTGCACTCCGGAGCTCCATGATTCCCTCGAATCAGCCTTTTTTCTTGTGAAATGTCTGTTTGCCATCTCAGCTTCATGTTAAAGAACATTGATTTGAACAGGTTAACAGAAATCTCTTCTTCGGACAGGAGTCTAACCTCGTGGTGGAATTAAAGCTCGTTTTCTAATATGCTCTGTTTGCTGGTTCAGACTCCTGTTGCACCACCGCAGCCCAAATCTATAATTCACTTTGCCTTTACTGGGCCAACATGGCCCAAGAGTATTTTCCTTTGGTGAGGCCGTGTGAAGGAGAGTGCGCTCTCCCTGTGAGAGCCCCTTCACTCGAGCTTTTGTTTGATGGAAAATCTCATGCCTCAGAGAATCCACGTCTCGCAGACAGCTGCTCGAGTGTCCTGCAGTGCGCTGGCCTCCACATGGGTCTGGCTCGCATCGCCGCGCATCTGCTTTGATTGTTGTTACATAACTTGGCATTTGGTCCTCTGCGTTCCTACCCCTGCCTGCTTTCAGCCCCCCTTCACCTTCCCCTCAGAAAGCACCTCGTTGTATTCCTCTCTACCTTTATCCACTGTCCTCTGAACATCGAGCACTTGCCTGTCCCCCTCTGTCTCTGCTCTCGACGTCATGTCTTGCAGGGTAATATTTGACCCCTCGTTTTGTTTCTGTACTTCTGATTGTTGAGTAAGTCAGTGATTCCACACCCGAGTCTTTGACAGCTCGGCCTGGATTTGACACATTGACAATGATTTAAAGAATAATCATGTAAAGTTTGGGTCAGTAGAAAAGTCTCAAACTAAAATAAAGACAAAACAGGCTCTTAAAATGTCTTCAATGTCCTGTTGCTTCTTGGTGTTCAAATTGAAGTGCGATTACTTTTTGAAGTTGTCACATTATTCATTCTGCATCGTTCTTCTTTGGTCGTCACACACACTGTCATTTTAAGACATAGTGATGTGGTGTGACACACTAATGTGTCATCTTCTACTGGTCCTCTGTAGGGCTGGGTACCGCCACTGATTTCTAGAATCGATTCAATTCGATTTGAATCTGGGAAATTTTGCCTCACACAGTCAGAAATATTATAATTCAGATCTGTACATTTACATATTTTTGTATCTATAAGAAGGAAGCTGACACTTTCCAGACTTTATCAAAGGTGTGAGCATCACAGCGAGGCCTTTGTGTCAAAGTAGCTGAGGATAAACACAGAAACACATGAAGGAGATTTTCCTGTTCTGGATTTTATAAAAATATTCTGCAGTACATCAAAAACGAAAGAAAACCATTAATCAACATATGAACATCACCTCTGAAGTTACAGCAGTTTTATTACAGACACAGCGTTTTGCATTTTGCATCATTTTAAAAAGTATAAATTTGTTCAGTATTGAACAGCAGAAATGAGGTTTTCTTTTCGGAAGTAAGTAAAAGAAAAAAAACAGCGGCTGACAGCCTGTAAACAACGGCAGACTTGTGCGTAACAAGCAAGCGAATAATGAAGAAAACAGATTTTTAGACGGGAAACTGTTCGAGAGAGAGAGAGAGAGAGCTGTGCATCCTGGTGGAAGCAAAACAGTAAAAGTCAGAGTGAATCCATGACGATGTTTATGTGAAGCGTAGTTTGGATCTTCTTTGGCTGCTGGTTCGGTCAATATTGTTTGGAGAGACATCAAACTAACAGCTTTAGAATCAGTGAAAAAAGGGCGTAAACACAAAGCGCGGACCCGCCGACACATCAGAGTCAGCGAGCTGTCGGCTTTCAGCCCCGACCGTGTCCGTGCCGTCGGTGAGAAAGTCACATCTCACTGATTCTGATGCGTCGGCGGGTCCGAGCTTTGTGTTTACGTCTCTGTGCAGAGTCTGTGCTCCTGCTCTCATTTACTGTTACTGTCGATTATTAAAACCCAGCCTAGTCCTTTGGAAGTGTAACAGCAGCAGAGACAGCCTGATGACTACATATAAAACAACTATTCAGTAGTCATCATAGCCATGAGTAATGACATACTGCTGCAACAATCAAAAGTATAGTTTATAGTATAACAGCAACTACATGAGGATGGTGATATTTTGGTTGGTGCTGTAATCTAACCTCATTCATTTCATTGAGGTCATGCACTTCCTCAGCTCCTAAAATGTGTCTGTTTACAGTGTTTTTCTGTTGATTGCTGATTTAAGTGAAGTGAAAACCAGATACGTGTCACAAAGTTGGGGAGGAGGGCAGTGAACACGAAGGCGAGATAAGCCCTGACTCTCGCTGTTTCTGATCTGTGTTGGAAGGAAAGCTAATCCTTGCACACCTACAGAACTGAACCTCCACCAAAGGATGTCTGTGAATACAGAGCAGGCGAAGACACTCCCGGGCGGCAGCGAGCTCACGGCTACACCTGCTGAAGCTAACAGCCAACAGAAGAGCCTAACTGGTCTCCGACCCGGACCAAATGCAACAGCTTGTAGAAAGAAAATCAGTTTTAGCCGTCTTGGCCTGAGCTGAACTGAACAGTGATTTAATTTGAGCTGCTGTGAGGGAATGTGGTGTGATTGATAATACTGATTTATAATAAACAACAGCTTTGTGTCATAAAGTGAATACAAGAAAGGAAAATCTTTTCATGAGTGTTTTTCTATTTTCTCTGTGGCTCAGGAGGCCGGTGGTTTGATCCCTGACCCTCCCAGTCTGCTTGTCAGTGTCCTCGTGCTGATACAGAACCAGAGTTTCTCCTCATGCGTTGCCTGGAGTGTGTGAATATGTGAGAAACTGGTACCTGTAGACTCAGAGCTCCTGAAGTAGCAGCCCTTTAACCAGATTCCTTGTTTTATCTGTCAAAAGTCTAAAATCCACAGACATGTGTAATTAGTCGTGCACCTGACCAGCAGCTATACGGTATATCATTTTTACATTGTTTGGTTAAGGTTTAAAAAGGATCTTGGAGAATATCCAAAGTATATGTTCATTCACAGCGATCTGTTTCTTTTACCGGTAGAAAGGACTGGCGCGGTAACACTACTCTTTTCCAAACGGAGGCATTTATTTATGGCTTTTTGTCTCTGCAGGACACGCATCCTTGGGATAAAGAGGAATTCCAACATGGGGGTGAAAACCTTCACCCACAGCTCGACCTCGCACAGCCAGGAGATGCTCGAGAAGCTCAACGCTTTGCGCAACGAGGGTCATTTATGCGATGTCACCATCCGAGTCCAAGACAAGCTCTTCCTGGCCCACAAAGTGGTTCTGGCCTGCTGCAGTGAATTCTTCCGCTCCAAACTGGTGGGCCGGCCAGAGGAGGAGGACAAGTTTGTGTTGGACCTTCACCACGTGACGGTTAGCGGTTTCGCTCCCCTGCTGGAGTACGCCTACACGTCGACTCTTTCCATCAGCACGGAGAATATCATCGACGTCCTGGCAGCTGCCAGTTACATGCAGATGTTTGCTGTGGCTAGTACGTGTTCGGAGTTCATGAAGTCAAGTATTCTGTGGACTCCGGGTAACAACAATAACAACAACAACATGGGAGCGGATAAACCTCACGAATCGGCACCGGAGAGCGCCTCGTCAAACTGTGCCCTGACACCGCTGGATGGCAGCGTGTCGCCGGTGTCTTCCGATTGCAGCGTGATGGAAAGAAATGTTCCCATCTGCCGCGAATCGCGAAGGAAACGCAAAAGCTTTGTGTCGATGGCTTCCCCCGAGAGTCCGCTCAAATGCACTACACAGATGGTCACCACCTCCCCTCAGATCCCCAACCCATCGCCCTCGTTCTCAGACAGCGCAGCCCAGCCCGTGGAGTCCTCCCTGGCCTTCCCCTGGACTTTCCCTTTCGGTATCGACCGGAGGTTTCACTCGGACAAATCGAAGCTGCCGGAGAGCCCTCGCTGTTTGGAGCAGGGAACCCCGGGGACCTCGGAGGTAGTGGTTGGCCGTCGGCTCAGCGACTTCCTAACGTGCGAGAGCTCAAAGACGGTGTCTTCACCTGTCGCAGCGGAGGAGGAAGATGTAAGGGTGAAGGTGGAGCGTCTCAGTGACGAAGAGGTCCAGGAAGCATCGTCACAGCCAGTCAGTGCCTCTCAGAGCTCGCTGAGTGACCAGCAGACGGTGCCGGGGAGCGAACAGGTCCAAGAGGAGCTCCTCATCAGTCCACAGTCCTCCTCCATAGGTGACCGTCTTCGTCCTACCTTCACGGTGCATTGTTGTATCATATGTGCGCCGATTATATTTGGTTAAAACGTTCGGCTTAGATAAAACTTCGATGTGCATATTGTGTTTCTCACTGGTGTAACAGGGCTGTGTCCTGACCCACTTAAGACGGCGCTGCTTTGCAAAGTGTGCAGTCAAACCTGCCTCGCCCTGCTCCCAGAGCTGCCTCCCCACCCACTGGATTTTTATTTGTATTGTCTCAGTGGAAAGTTTTATTGTCCACTGGTCCAAATTCAGCTTGAAAGGCTTTTCTGCCTTTCCATAAATAAAAAGAGGAAATGGAAACATTCGTCATTTTTTCCTAAACTGTTTAGTGGCACAGTGCTTTGTTATCCAGCAGCATCAATCCCGAAGCAGGGGATTAGCCTTCAAAGAGTGTATTAGTCTAACCGTGTCCAAGATGTCATGCTTTAGGCTTTATTTTCAGTCGACAGCTACCGTGAGTCATTTTCTTCCCTCCGTCTTCCCAGGCTCGATGGATGAGGGCGTGTCAGAGGGCTTACCGTCAATGCAGAGCACCTCTAACGCTGGAGGACATGCGGAAGATGATGAGAGGTATCGTGATTTGTTGAAACTCGCTGTGAACCAATCATAAAGTAGGAAAGAACATATAGACGCGGCTCTCGCGACTGAACGTCTGGGCCACACCTGGTTAGATAATAAAGACGTCGTGTTTGCACGGTAATCTAAAGAATGGTCGTTGTGTGATGCGTGTTAGCACGCTCCTCAGTGTGGCGCACATCGCTGTCGTCACTAATCACACGACACATATAAACACATATATACTTGGTTAGGGTCGTGCTTTCTGTTAACTCCTTATATTATAACCAGCAGATGCAACAACGGTACTTGTAGGTGCACGCACATGCTTGTTCATGCTCACACTTATGCTACGTCGTGCATGTCGAGTTGTTACCCTGATCCGCTGTCAACACTGTTAAAATAGAAGAAGGGCATTTTGATGACAGATTAGAGCTCTATACTGTAGACTGGGACTGGACTGCATCAATGACTAGTCCTCTGTTTGTGTTTCAGGTTGGAAGGTATTCAGTATCCGTACCATCTCTACATCAGTCCTTCAACACGGCCTGGCACCAACGGCCCTGACCGGCCCTTTCAGTGTCCGACCTGCGGAGTCCGGTTCACACGCATTCAAAACCTGAAACAGCACATGCTCATACACTCCGGTAGGTGAGATATGAAAGCAGGTGCATCACAAGATTCTTCATATATGACTGCGCAGCACCACGCCCCTCTGAAGTAAACAAAAATGTTGCAGCCTTTGTTTTCTGAGACATTTTTTGAGACGTTGTCTTTTTACTTGGAGACAAGAAGAACAACTGGGTTAATACATTTCTCGGTTGTGAAGTTGCTAATGAAGATTTTAATAAAAAGGTTAAACGATACAAGTTGCTGCTCTTGTAAATGCCTCAGGAAACAAAGGAGACTTTCAAGGAGACTCTGATCTAAAAAACCTTAGCAAAGGCTTTTTGTGATCTCACACGCGTGGACACAAACACTTGTGTAATGCTAATGTACAGATCAGCAAGCGTGGTTTTGTCTCTTTTTCCAGGCATTAAACCTTTCCAGTGTGACCGCTGTGGGAAAAAGTTCACACGGGCCTACTCCCTAAAGATGCATCGGCTGAAGCACGAAGGTAAACGCTGTTTCCGGTGCCAGATTTGTAGCGCCACATTCACGTCCTTCGGTGAATATAAGCACCACATGAGGGTCTCCCGACACATAATCCGCAAGCCGCGGATTTATGAGTGCAAAACGTGCGGCGCCATGTTCACCAACTCTGGCAATTTAATTGTACACCTGAGGAGTCTGAACCATGAGGCATCCGAACTAGCAAACTACTTCCAGAGCAGGTGAGGAGTCCGGGGGCGCCGCCCCCATCTTTACTCAGATCTCACCTGGATGAGAAAAAAGTTGAGTTTAGATTCTAACAGAAGGCTCGTTGTCGTGACTTTGGCTTTGTACAACTGTTTTTCAGATGATTTGAATGCTTAGATCAAGGGTGTCTGTATTTACTGGGGAACTTTAACTGCTTTGACACAATTGTTTTATATTTTGGGAATAAGGATTATCTGATGAGTTGAATGAAAACGTCATGACCGCTCTGATAACTGTGGTGTAAATGTGAATACTGATAATGAGGCCTTGTCCACAGCACTTTGGCCTCTGTTTGTTTCGGTCACTGCTGTGAGCACTGTGTGCTGTGGCAGGTGTGGAAACCCTTTTCCACATGATTCAAAACATGGGAAAACTGGGAGTCGTGCCCCGTAACTGGTCCCATGAAATAAAACAGAGAATATCATTTCAAGTTTCTCTTTGAATAAACAACAGTCATTCAATTACATGCATATGCTTGTAGATGGGGCTGCCACAAATTATTATTCTGATACTCAACTAATCAGATCCATTGGACGTAAAACGTCCAGCTGACTGCACCAGCAGCATCTGCTCTATCATTAGCTTACAGCTGGAAGTGTTTAAGGTGCTCACTAAAAATGAAAACAGATGATAGTTTATTAACTTTTAATGAAATTTGCAGATTGTTTCGGTGAAGTTTAATAAACTCCTTGCTATCTAAACTATAACAGGACACTGGAGTAAAGTCTCGACCGTCTCACACTGTTGTCAGTTTGATGTTTATTCAGCTGTGTAAAAACTTTAATCTCAGCCAAACCGATTTACTCAGGAACAAATAAAACACTGAAAAAGCCAAACAACAACATTCATAATAAGAGTAATATTAAAACTAAGTAGCTGCCGCCATTGTTGGAAACTGGAACTGGCTGAGCTGCGCTGTGAATTCTGCCATTTGTCGGCCGCATTTGGAGGAGTCTTTGAATTTGGACATCCTTTGTTGCGTCGCTGTGGCATCATTGGCTTACAAATGCAGCCGCAGGAGGATGTGTCCTCTGAATTTGGACACAGCTACGATACCAGACACAGCTTCTTCTTCTTCTTTGGTGTTTAACGGCAGCTGGCGTCCTTGTAGATGTAGTGCTGCCATCTTCTGTTTCAGTCCGTTATTACACTCTTAAATCAACGATTTTGATAGTCGACATAATTGTGACTAGTCGACTAATCGTGGCAGCCCTAGGTGGGATGCTAATAATAGTAGCCTTGTGAGCTGGGTGTAGCAGCAGAGGAACCAGTCCCCCAGCTGCTGCAGGCTCCGGTTGGAGTTCATCACCAGCTCACTTTGGAAAACGCTGCTGGTAGTTTAGTTACCGTTCGACTGGCCCAGCTTATGCCACACTAAGCAAACAGTTCCTGGCTGTAGCGTTGCATTTACTGCACACGAATGGTCTCAAGCTTTTCATTTAAGTGTCAGTAAAGAAAGTGAGTGGAGACATTTCCCAAAATGTCAAACTGTTTCTTTAACATTCACCACTGAGAGGAAATTACAAATACCTCAAATTTGTTTCAGCTCTGACTGAAAGATTTCCAGAAGTAAGAGGATGAAGTGAAGTATCGAGAGTACAAACAAGAACTTACTGAGTTTCCTTAACACACAGAGTAACTGTCCAAATTATAACTCGTAGTAATAAGCACGCCTGAGAAACTATAGCGTACTGTAGCAGGTACTGTGTGTGGTGCCTTTGTCATCTCTGCTTCTTTAACCAAATCTAGGAGGTTATTTGTTTTCATCATCAGCTAGTTAGCTTTAATATTACTCTTATTAATCTTTCTGGGTCACAAAATAAACTTTTAACATATTTTCAGGCGAGAGTGTAGCTGTGTAAACCTCAAATATCTGCTCGATTTATCGAGACATCGCATATTTGCAAAAGTGCTCCAACGTTTTCGGAGACGTCTGTTACCCACCAGCTCGAAAGCTAGCCGAGAGGTCGAGGGTCACTCGAGCCGGCGAGAACGGCAAATTTAAGATAACTTAAAAATGTTACTGTTTGGCTTTTTCAGTGTTTTATTTGTTCCTGAGTAAATCGGTTTGGCTGAGATTAAAGTTTTCACACAGCTGAATAAACATCAAACTGACAACAGTGTGAGACGGTCGAGACTTTACTCCAGTGTCCTGATATATTTTAGATAGCAAGGAGTTTATTAAACTTCACCGAAACAATCTGCAAACTTCATTAAAAGTTAATAAACTATCATCTGTTTTTATTTTTAGTGAGCACCTTAAACACTTCCAGCTGTAAGCTAATGATAGAGCAGATGCTGCTGGTGCAGTCAGCTGTAATTTTAACATCCAATGGATGCACGATCTGATTAGTCGACTATCAAAATAATAATTTGCGGCAGCCGTAGTTTGACAGTCTGCACATGTGCAGCTGCAAGATCGACGGCACTGACACGTTTGAAAGAACATCCATGGAAACCATGTGATGAAAGCTCGGTGTCACTTTGGCTCAGGCAGCACCAGTTTCTGTATCTCGTATGTTTGCCTGTACCAAACGTTCATGTAAAGGATGAGTCCACCAATCCCACACACTGAATCAGTGCTGTTATTACACCAATGACTGAGTCAGATGAAGGTGCATCACAAAGATGATGAATTTATTAACAAATTTAAACTATGCTGTAACTACAGAAAAACACTCTAAACATGTTTCCTTATTTACGATAGAGCGTGCTGTCATAGAAGGCCTGTTATCCCTGTTTTACTGTCTGCGTTATATTTACTGTACAGTGATTGTGCAATTAAGCTGAAGCCTCAGGCTTTGGGTTGCTCTAAACATTTAGTTTCTGACAGTTTTTCCACTTTTGGCTCAGTATGATGTCAGTAAATATGGTCGTCTCAGGCACGCCGTCGCTGTTTAAACCCAGTGTTTATGAGGGAGAGCCAATCACGCCAACGTTTACCTAAAGAGAGGGCGATGACGCCGTCTGTTTCCAAACGCTCAGGAGCTGCAACAGTTTACGATGTTTTTCTTTCAGTTGTAAAATACTGAAAGTTACCCCTGAAGACGTTTTCAATCTGCTACCATGTGAAAGAAATACAAGCAACAGACCTTACACGTGTGACCCTGATGATGGAACATGTGGAGTAGCTTTTAGCTTTTAGCGGCCCGATTATGAGTTTCCTGGTTATCTGGATGCTGAAGGTGGACAAAGTTTCAAAGGAGTTTGATGTACTGTGCAAAAGTCTTGAGCAGATTTCTTTATATATCTTTTCTGCTAGGAAAATAGGAGATTGTTACAGTGACTTGCTGAGCTTCAGGAACATTTCTCCATTCTTCTGGAAGGACATCCCAAAGCTCTTATTTTGACTGCATTTCGTTCCCTGCTCTCTGAAGATGATCCCACACTGCTTCACGGAGCTCTGGGCTCCCACTGGTCCTCGGTGTGGTTTGTCTAAGCTTTTACTGCATTGGCAGGATCTTTGTCACGCTGAAGAACGACGCTGCTGCCGAGCAGAGGCTTTCCACATGGTGGATAAAATCTGATGGTGCTTTTCTGCATTTATGGTTCCATCAATTATGGCAAACTCCTCAACACCACTGACTCAAACATGTTTCACTGATAGGCTCTAGCAGCCTATCTATAAGTGCCTAAACTGGTCCCTGGGTGTTAGCACTGATTCATCTGTTGAGTTTGGGCCTTTTAACGCTGGAATGATTCAGCTCAATAATAACCAAAAGAAGCGGCACAGAAAAAAGTCAGCCTGAGGGTGGCTCAAGACTTCTGCACAGTACTCCAAAGCTCAGGCTTCGGACCATCACGGACAGGTTTTAAACCGAGCTGTTTGTGCTGTTGCACAGACAATCCCTAACCCTAACGTGGTCGTCTCAGGCACACGGCTCTCTCTTCAAATCGTCTGTTTCCGAGCAGCCACCAATCAGAAGAGGGAGAGTGGTCTTGTTCCACATAGAGGACTAACGGCAGCACAGTGGGATAAATCTTTAACTTAAATATTAATAGAACTTGTTGGAGATTAGTTTCAGGTTTTTCAGCTCTGTTGGCTGCAGACCCACTGCCCCTCGATAGTCTCCTCCGTTGGCTCGGTGTTACCATCGGGATAAAGTCTATAAATACCCAGACCTCATCCCGAAAGTAGCCGCAGTGTCATCGGTGCATTTTTGGTCTACTGGTGGTCACAGTGACAGAGAGCTCATCTCCATGGGGAGACACGTGGACATATGTTCTGTGTATTACAGTATATGTATATACAAGTATTTTACAGTGTGTTTTTGTGAAAATCACATGTGCAGTTATTGTCGGGTGACGGGGAACTTAACGTGTTCTCTTGGTCCACGCAGTGATTTCCTCGTGCCCGACTACCTGAGCCAGGTACAGGAGGAGGAGGAGGCGCTGGGAGTCCAGTACGAGCTGGAGGAGACCCAGCATCATCCGGTCTACCCGGGCAGCACCTCCGCTTCCACCACCACCCCCGCCTCGTCCTCCTCCTCAGTGCAGATGCCCGTCATCTCCCAGGTCTCCTCCTCCACCCAGAATTGTGAGAGTTCCTCTGGCTTCCTGTCACCTGAGCCCCTGGATCCCCTGGAAGCCCCAGCCTCCCCGAAGATGGACGCCGATGACACGGCGCCCATGACAGAGGAGACCAAGATGGACAACAGCGTTGGTGGCAGTTCCCCAGAGGTGTTTGAAGAAGAGCAGCAGCAGCAGCAACATGCTCGGGCCAAGGAGGTGGCTTCCATTACCATAAAGTGATTCGAGTCTTCTACTTGCCCATTATGTCTTATTTTGCAGTCATGTCATATGGGAATATCGGTTGGGACGACTGGATGTTGCCGCCTCATCGTGTGAAACTGTCAGGACGCTGCGATTGAAGTTTTCTGATACTTCGACTGACTGGCGTTTCTCTACGCAGATGCTGAACACCTCACCAAACCCAGCAACTCAATGTCAGCTGTTGTTGTTGTTGTGGGGTTGTTTTTGTTTCAAATATAATATTTCATAAACCTTCACTGTTGATGTGAGATTTCAGTGGGTCAGAAGATCTCGCTCGAAATCCAAGTTTTTTTTACGAGTCACTTAAAGGAGGAAGGTTGTTTTTCCCATATGACGTGAATGCAGCACAAGCTAAAGTCATTTCTGTCTTAGCCAATTCGAGGTCTGTTAAATCGAAGCCTTGCTCTACTTTTGGAAAGTGCCTGAGAGTTCCCATTTTAACAAAGTACCGTGTAGAGAAAGAAAAGCTCTTTGCTTTGCCAACAGTGACAAATCAAGTCTTTGGAAAAAATGTTTGTATTCATTTGTAGTGCTGATGCTAGTTTGTATTGGCAGAGACTGTGTTATTCCTTTAGTGCCGTTGCTATAGGCAAACTGTTAAATGTCAATATTATCTATATTGCAATAGCTTGTACTGTAGTTTTACTATTTGAATGCTGTGAATGTTGGTTGTTGTGAAATGATATGTCAGGTGTGTGTATGTGCATTTCTTTGATCAGTATGAACACATTTCATTTTTTGAAATTACTTGACAAAGTATTCCCGAACACATCTGTGCAGTATACGATTTTCCTGTTTAGACTTCGTGACGTCAAATATCTCAAGATTGGATCGGCACTAGAGCGACTTTTATTTTGTAATCCAACGAAATGGATACAAATCGAGACTGAAAAAATCACATTGTTACTTTGTCGTCAACGACTGCAGTATTATATATTCCCAAATGTGATATGGCAATGTAGCATCCCAGCCTTCTTTCCAAAGGCAGTTCATTGGATAGATGTTCACGTGGCTCAGCAGGTGCGTTGGACACTGCATCCTGACTATTGGAGCGATGTTACACTGACAGCGTGATTTTCTTTGCAGCTCTGTGGGACTCTGAGCTCAACCAGGATTTAGTTTTTTTCTTTCTAGTTGTTACAAAGGGGACGATTCCCTGACTACCATTAACACTCACTGAGCAGTTTACTGGGAACACGTAAACAGTGGCACACATCCGCTACATCCCCTGTAACAACGACCACTGTATAAGCTTTGTAACAACAGCTTATGGATACACGTGGCAGTGCTAAAAACTGCAGTTCCTCTAACGGCCACTGGGGGGCCGACTGTGGAAGCTTGTTAATACGCAGCAACTCACATATATGGGTGTTGACCTTGGTGCATTCAATTCATTTGTATGTGACCAACATGACAGGCTGGTCACATACAGCCTGTCATGTTGGTCACATACAAATGCACATACACGAGCTTCTTTGTGGCTCTACAAAGAAGCTCGTGTTTCAGAGTTTTATCAGAAACATCAAACTTTGCTCCTGTTGATGTTGTAACGTTGTGCTGGCTAACGTCGAGACTCTGAACTCTAAAACTAATATGTGACGTCACAGTAACGAGGAGTATTTTTACATTAACTGTTAAACTGCTCAGTGAGTGTACAGTTACTGTAGCCCAGGAAGCAGGAGTGACCCAGTGTGATCACGAGGCTGTCGAGTGTTAATGTGATAATGTTGTTTTGAAGTAACCCGTCTGCTAACCGTGAGTTGAACCTTTGGAAATGTTACCCACGCAGGCCGTTCTTCGTGTTACTGATTATTTTAAATGTGGATTTTCGGGTCAGACTTTCTGTTACCCGCATTGTGACAACGGGCTTGTGATTCTGTTGCGCCTGAACTTTGAGTCGAATGCTACTGACGGCAGCTGGGTTCTGTGCTTACGTTCACACGCGCCCCCAAAAGTCGTACAAACAGCTCATTCTTGCGCTCACTCCAGCAGGGTGCACGAGCTCGATTGTAAACGTGAGGATGAATACTGCTGAGAATCCAATCAGAGCCGTCTTAAGAAGCAGCGGTGTCGCCCCGTGCCATCCGTTCAGCCCTTTTTTAAATGTCGTGCCATTTGCCCTTTTTCTCTGGGTGCAAACCGAGCTTTTTCCTCTAGGACCAAATGTTCTCTCTCTTATTGGGGATTTGCCGTGGCAATCAGTACTTGCACATATTAAAAGAAAGAGATAATCATTCAAGCGGTCCATGTTATTTAGCTGAGGGGTCCTGCTGTTCTGCCCTTTACAACACTGTATGATGTTGTGCGTTGAAGAGGCTAGCCTTAGTAAGTGGACCTATTAACTCTAGTTGCACAATTTCAGAATTGAAAAAAAAAGACAGAGTTTTCTATTCTCCACGTGTGTGTCACGCTTTTCATCTGTTGTGTTGGTGTGTGTATTCAGATCACCTTTTTTATAATGAAATGCTGCTGTTTGTCGAAACGCAAAGTGCCCAAAATATTTTTGTGAACCAATGGTGTGCAATAAATGGACCGGTGTCGTTTTAAAGGTTTTCGTTTTTAAAAATATACATATATATATATATATATATATATATAAAATATAAATATATGAAAAAGAAAATAAGAATGTATCATTTTGTTTCAATCTAATGTGACTGAATGAAAGCGAGCCCGTTTGATCTGTGAACATCTGTAAGCTTTGACATGAAACGACTGGCTGTGTCCAGCTCCTCTGTGTTTGTTTGGGAAGGCTGCATGTTCGTGTCGTTCCGTGACGTGAAAGAGAGCATGTGCTGAGTTGGTGGTATGTTCTGTCAAGGCCTTATTTTGTAGCCGACTCTTCATCCGATCTGTTGTTCAGCATGCCCTCTTCTTCTTTTCTGTACGTTATCCCTTTTTTATGTGCAATGTTTCAAAAGATATCTTGATTATACGAGTACACTTGATGTTGTATATGTTTTCCAGTCCATACCATTTATTTAAAAGTATGAAAATAATAAAAAACAAAAAGTACCCCCGAACTGGTAGCTCTTCATAATGGCATATATATATATTTTTGGTGATTTTTCTATTCTGGTTGCTGTTTCATGGCATCTTTGGATATTCTTGTTAAATGTGAATAGAACAGCTTAGCCTGGGAGTGGGCGGGGCCTTGGTAGTCTTCACTTTGTGACTGTCTGCAATGTGTGTGTATATATATAAATATCCAGTATATACACTCATACTATGTTGCATATTCTTTATACTGTAGGCAGCCTGATTACAACCTGCTTTGAGACAGATTGTTGTACTTTGTGTCTTTGATATTGTATTTAAACTGTAGTTTGGAGAACCTGTACAAAAACATCCCAGATAGTAATGCAACCTGCACACACTGTATCCGGGGAACTGACGTTTGTGGTGGTGTTGAGTGTTTTAACTGGATCATATTCCACAGTTGGCTGTTAAAAACTGACGAGACCACTCTGTATTTAAGAGTTTATGGTTGTTCTCAATCTTTGCTAGTGTTCTGGCTTTGCAGTCCTGTTGTTCTTAAAAATAGTTGTTTTGTAAAAGTTTAAAATGTAAATAAAAAAATCAAAGTCAGAAAGATTGTCACTGAACTTTGAGGATTTATTTCGGAGTGTGTGGAGTAACACGCCAGGGTTGTTGGCCCTGCCGTTGTCAGGCTCTGTCCACTTAACCTGGACCCCGTCAAGACAAGTCGAACATATACGGACATTTTTGTGTTATCAAGCAGTCACAGATACAGACAAGTACAGATAAGACAGTATTAGGAAAATATAGCGACAGCTTCTACAGACAACGAAACCACTTCATGTTTTTAAAGTTGAAGCCACTTAAAAGCTCCCAAAGAAAACACACCAGCAAAAACACGGTGCTTGTAAATCAAGACAATCTGACTGATTACAATGTTTCTTCCATTCATTTCATCTTTTTTATGTGACAGTTTTAGCATTTGTTCTCTTAGCTGCGGCTGTGCTTAACAGTCTCATAGTGAAGAACCGATAAAGCCTGAACTGAGACAGAGGCTTAGTCTAACTACAGATTTGACAATTCGGTTCAACTCAGTTTTATTTTGCGCCAAATCACAACAGCAGTCACTTCAATGTTCTTTACATTATAAGCCGCTGCAATAATACAGAGAAAATCCCAACAGTCAGATGAAGAAGCGGGAAGGAAGAAACCTCCAGCAGACCCAGGCTCAGGGAGGAGCACACCTGCTGCTACTCGATGGGCGGAGGGGAGGAAGAGAGCCAGAGGTTAATGATAACTAATGATTAAATGCAGAGTGGTGTATAAACACTTACTGAGTGAAAAGAGGTGGAGAAGTGAAGAAGAAACAGTGTGTGCATCAGTGCATCATGGGAAGCCCCCAGCAGAGCACTTCACTCTAATAGGGGTCAAACCACTAACCTTGTAAATAGCAGGTGCTGCTCTGCCTCCTGCTCAGGGTAACACTGCCGGTGGTATGAAGTTACCTCGATAAGCTCAGACCCTGTTTGTGGTGCTTCTGCAAATCATTTGCAAATCTGCCCATACAAATATCAACCAGTACCTAAGAATACTTACAAAACTGAAATGAAACCAGCCTATGAAACAATCTGCTATTGCGAAACATATAAACAAACAAACTTCCCACTTCAGAGGACCCCACAGAAGTCATCGTGCGCTGTCACAGTGAGCAGCCTGCGAGCCATTCAGCTGCTATTTCATTCTTTTGATTGTGTTGATGAAATGCGAGATCTTCCACTGTCTGCCTGGAGGACGGCTGCCACCAGAGCTAAGTGCTGTGTTTTTGTTTCATTTATAACAAAAAGCCACAGCTGCCGTCAAAGCCAACAACTGTGGGAGGCGGCGTTCTCTGTGTGGCAGACGAGATGCTGCAAAATGAAAAGACTTCAGTGGATTGTTGTTCCACCTTGTCAGCTCCATCTGGCCAGTGTGCACGCGTCGCAGGCCGTCTGCAGTAACCTTTAGGGTAGAAGTGATCGACTGGCTTCAAACCCACGGTGCTCCGGGTTTACACACCTGTGCAGAAGAACGCACCACTTGTTTATGTGGACCTATACTGAAGCATAATGGATGTTTACTGCTGTGGGAGACGAGAATGTGAAACAGTCAAAATGTCCACCTTTAACCAAACGTGCTGCCTGAACCTTGAACAAAGAATTTCAGTGGAAAGTTTCATTTGTGACGGGCTGCAAACTTAAACCTGCTCCGTTTACAAGCTGCTTTCATGAAGTCGAATTAAAACTGAAGAACCAACAAACAGCAGCCAAACCACGAAGAGGTGGGAGAGGTCCGGGGTTTCAATCTTATTTCATACGTTTTATATTTCATAACATCAGCATCGTAGACAGTCATAGTAGAACTCATGATGGCATCAGGACTGCTGTACTTGTACTGGGTGGGAAAACTGAGTCATTAATTTTTTGTTTTTAAAGCTAAGAACCTTTTCTTTAACGGAAATGAATATATATTAATATCAACCCCTGGTTCTGGTAACAAGTTGCCTTTCATAGTCATTCCCAGAAATATTTAGCGGAGCAGAAATGACCAGTGGATGAAAATTTGGCTAAGCTGGAGTCATTTGGGAACGTCTGGCTGATCGTAGACCCATCGCAGGAAGTCCTTCTCTTCGCACGGCTCATGTTGGATGAATCTTTAAAATGTTTTACACACAATTGTTTGTTTTTCTAAAGATGCACATTGGATGATTTAACCTCCTAGGACCTGGTGTCCACATGTGTGGACGTCACATTTTCGGTTATTTAGACCAAAATACTCAATCTTGCTCTACATGGGCCTGATATCCACTTACGAGGACGTTATGCTGCTACTGTCCTATCAAAATGTTAAACGAATGTCCTCATGTGGCTCTGATTTTTCTTAGAAACAAAAATTAGAATAAAAAAAAAATTCTTTGTTTTCACATTCATCGTGTCCCAATCAGCCCAAATATCAAAGAGAAATGAAAAATGCTGCAGTGGAAGAGTTCAGGTCTCAGGAGGTTAGAGTAGATGATCCTTCTCTCTTTGCCATTAAAGGCCAAATAAACTACAGCTCGTTTGGATTACGCAGGTGGATGAATATGAATGAATGAGTGACGGAGCAGTTGTTCACTCCCACCCCTGCATTGCTTCCAGTACAACTCCATTGCATAATACTGGGCTCAGACCTGTAAAGGTTTACTGCAGATGCATTTATGACTTGTTTACATTCTGGGCTTATCTGCAGGTCGTGAACGTCCCGAGGCGAGTTCTTAGACACACGGGATACTGCAGTTTTCTGAGCGATAATGCTGTGGCGCGCATCAATGCCAGGAAAAATAAAACACACTGCATGACTAATACACATGTCATACATTCCCAATCAATGGAGGAGTTGGATTCAATGGAATATTCCACAAATCCCGACCTTGCCAGATTCA